TTAAAATACAACAAAGAGCTAAGCTGATAAGCTACCTAATGTGTTTATTATCAATTCTATTGTAACAAAAATATTTTCTACTCAATGATTGATGTATAATATTAAGTTAAAATTATTATTAACCTTTCCTTATGATATTTATAAAACTGTAGTGTGAGAAAAAATATTATTCATTTACTATTTATATTTATTGCAATCTAAAGGAGTAACTGAATCAAAGATCTCATATTGAACTCAAAAAAAAATCTTTAAAATGTCTCATAAAGAAATAAATGATTAACATTATACTTTAGCTAGGTAGATTAATGTGAAGGAAATTTAAACTTATTTACCTTATTTATATTATATTGTAAAACATTGTGTATCACCAAAGCAGATGGCATGAACAAAATATGAAAAAATCTATGCTCTTAGAAGACAGTGTCCCAAATAAATCTATGAAATGCATAAACTATAACCTTAATACTTTATTCCCCTATTGCCGCGTGTTTCCACAAAACTGCTTTCGAAATATAACAGTAGTAGGAAAAATATATTGGCTTGGTGCCCACCACAAAGCCAATATATTTTAATGGCAGTCACAGTAAATGACATCATACTCACAGAGAGTTTAAAGATGTAAACACATCCCTATGAAGTTCACCACTACGATTTTATTAACCACCGGTTTTGTCACGAATTCACTTTTTATCAATCTCCTGTGATAATGAAGTCAAAAACATTAATCTTTTAGAAATATTTAAAGTAATACGAAGCACTAAATCACAGTTTACACGAATCGCATAATATATAATATCGAAAATCCACTTTCACTACAACACAGAGCACGTTCAGGTTTTATAATCAAGTTATCGGTATCTTAAATAATATTATTAACTAAAAGAAACAAATGTTACATTTTATTCTAAAAAACTCAGTAATGACATGCATGCCATTTTTTCTTGCCATTTAAAACCGTTGCGTTCAAGCAAAGATTACAAATTGTCAAATCTAAAACTATGGATGCGTTCAACGTAACTCCAGTTGAAAAGATGCATTGCACATTTAGCAAGTGCCTCCAGCTAATTGTACATGAAAATTCATTATTTAACAAGTATACAAGTTTAATAAACTTATGAATTTATATTGCTATGTTCCTTTGGTCTTTGCGCAAACGTAACTCGTTTAACCCTTTCCACGCTTCGTCTCTACTTTTTTCCCTTGCTTTGTGCAAACAAAGCAGGGCAATCATTACGCTTAGTCTAAACTGAATGCAACACGGTAGTTAATGATACCAGTTCAATATTGTTCGGTAAAGTTTTTATGGAAATGAAACAATTTTACATGCTTATTTATTGTGCACTGGTACTAAAACAAGCCGTGTTTAAGTTTAAGTTACCTTGACTAGGCTGAGGACATTGTGAGATGAGATCGCTAGGAGTTTCGTGGGACCCGCGAAGTGAAAGGCAGTTTGTGGATAGATACAATACAGCATCCATAACATTACGCAGAATCTGTCTCCATATTTCTTTCTCTGAGTGTATTACTCTCTCAATGTCTTGGCATGATTTCATTTGTTGTATTTGTTTTCACTCGATCGTACACTCTTTGTGCATTTGAGATGCCTCGTGTTCGGTTAATCTCTCTGAAACTTTTTTCCAATTAATCAACCCTGAAGAATACAATGCAGATGTGGCGGTACAAAACAGTGTCTGGTAAATCTTGCAGCACGCACAAAAAATTGCATTTTTTGTCTTAGAACATATAAGCCAAGATCTTTGAATCCTTTCGCAATTAGCCAACGTCCTGTACCACATAGAAGATTTTAAATGTCCGCCATTGCGTTCAGTAGATCTAAATTCAATGTTTTCGGGGTGATTTTCTGCTAATAATATAGCCTGATTGCTAAAGAAAGACCGTTGGTGGTCAGTCATTTTTCCATCCCTGGCCAATTGCCTGGGTCCGTCAAATCAAATCCGATTTTTGCAGTTCATCCGAATCCGAGTGCGAGGATTTAGATCCTTCGTATTCTGGCTTTGTTTTTTCAGGTTGTTCTGGTTGCTCTTCGCACATCGATAAAGTTGGTGAAGTTTGTACCGTGAAATCAGACTAATCTTGTTCCATTTGATCGGGCAAAGTGCGAGAAACATTATCTAACTGAATATCTACTTCGGAAGTTGCAGCAGATACTGACGGGTCACTCCCTCTGCGAAGCCAATTTTTCATATTATCTGCACATTGTTTTCCCTGCAACTGCTTTTATTTAGTATTTTTCCTATATTCCGCTCTCAATAGCTTTTTTTCTTTGCGCGCTCATAATTACAACCTGTAAACAAAAATAATCGATCTCCTTGTTGAAAACATTTAAATCTAATAAATATATTTAGTAAATAAATCGACCGAGAAACAATATCATTGCATGGAATGGAATGTAGGTACTACGATCTGAGTGACTACAATTTCACTAACACTACATAAAACTTTATAATTTGTGACTAATGGTTGCCATACACGATCCTGTTTACCGTCAAGTTTGCAGCGCGCTTGAAGCGGCATCCGGTAAACTTGACGGTGTATGGATATCAGTGTGCATGACAAGTCTACTTGAAGCAAAAATTGAATTTCGATTCTGCCGACTTGATCAAGCTTGCAGCGTCATGCAAACTTGAACATGTATATGAGCGGTCAAGTATGCATGACGGTAGTCGGAGCAAATAAGCGAGAGACGCCATGGTTTCAACTGATGCGGCATTATGCAAACTTGACGGCGAACGTGAACGTGAGTGGTCTATATGGATGCACTGCAAACTTGACGCCGCTTCAAGCGCGCTGCAAACTTGACGGTAAACTGGATCGTGTATGGCATCCATAACACTACAATTTACGAGCTATAGGTATCTACGCGCCGTCGACGACGTATGACATAAATAATAATAACGGCGGCTGCTTATTCGTTTTAAACTGCTGCATTGCATTGTATTGAATTAATAGCTGGAATAAAAAGGATGTTTTACTTCTCAGTCATCTGATGGCTGCCATCGTGTAATAAACAAAACACGACACGTACCGTCGTACGTGTCGTGTTTTAAAAAAATCTCGTAAAAATTTTAAGTAACGACGAATTGACGACGTAAGTGATTGTACGTATTACATTGAATTTAAAAAATAAATAGGTATAGTAACTTTAAAAGCATAAGATAGTTATGATAAAATACCTACCTAGAAAGGCGATCGATGAGCTATGATAGATTTATTGATGCGACACTTATACAATCAGTATTTTTTGATTTGATTTACCTTTGGTTGATCGACAAGTACTCAATGGTAGTAAATAATAAACATAAACAAACAACACAGATGCTTAAAACAAAACACTGTCGTGGAGAGACGTCGACGAGCAAGGGTATTAGTGTTCTGTGTCGACGAGAGAGTTTTCGAATATCCTTTCACACGCACGGTCTACATATTTATGTATCTATGCGCACGGTAACCAAACGCGTGCTGCCGCGATCTGCGATTACTGCGGGCGAGCGGGCGCGTATTTTGAACTGACCTACGCGCCTCGCGAATAATAATCATATATATAGTATGTAATATATGATAATAATGTTCGTGCTGCGCGTCTCACTCCGTGCTCTCGCCGCGCCCGGTCGTGTGTTCCGTGTGCTGTACCCTTGGGTATCGGTCGAGTCGATATGACCAGAGTAAAACAAGAATAAAATTTCTGTACTTGTACTATTATTCTGTGGTCAAGTTAAGTAAATTCGTCTGTAAGGTTTGAATTTGGCCGCCCGGGGCGTAGGCCCCGACTTAAAGATCCAGGGCTGTTTTTTTTATTTATAGGATAAGGATGACAAACGAGCACACAGTCCACTGATGGTAAGTGGTTCCTGTGGCCCATAGACATTTACATTTATCCTCAATTACGAATCAAAATGCAGATGCGTTATTTGTCACCCGTGACGACCACAGAACACTATTTCTGCTACGGAGGTGACTACTAAGATGGAATGCCTCGTTTCCAGTAAAAAGCGTCTCCGGTTTTCTACACTCACCATACGAAACACAGCAGCATTAACCTGCTATTTTACGCTGGTATTCTGTGAGAGCGTGGTCCTTCCCCGGTCGAGCCGACCCAGTCGTGTTACAACTATACCAGAAATATAGCTGCAGCATGGCTCTACCACGCATAAATTGTATATATTAACATCAAAGCGTATAGTAATATACTTGGTCTACATTCTATATTCTTGATTCCGTAATATACTTGGTCTTCTCTTGGTGACTAAATGATTTGTTTCTTAATTTTTTTTACCTGTATTTCACGTTTTTTCGTAAATGTTATACTTGTATTATCCTTGTTTAGAGTTTTATGTATTAATATGCATGTGTTGTACATATATGACTGCTTAATGTTCATTATTTTAGCATCTTAATATATTTTACGACTTGGAGTTAGAAATTTATTTTGTTGCATCACAACTAAGCCGGAAAAAACATATGTATAGTGTATACCGTGTGCTGACGCCCAAGTCAACCCGTGGACGTCACAAGACGTGACAGAGTGAAATCGAAACAGGAGATGGGCAGCAGCACCTTCCTAATTATAACTATCTGCCAAGTGTTTCAACTATGGCAAATATGGGGGGGGGGGGGGCATAAGGCAATCTATGGGGGCGTTTATGTTCGTTTGGTGGCTTTTTATTGGGCTGTAATGAATGATTGAATGAAGAAGGTATTTTTATAGGAATGGGCATAATGATGAGAGGAATAGTCATAATGGTTTTTATTTTAATTTGAAGTAACAAATTTTACACCTTTTACAAAATACAAAAATAAATGATTTCCTAAATTTATTTCCATTTAAAATAAAAAGATACATACTGAATTTTAGGGTATTTTAATCATATTCACAGAGACATTATCAGAAACAATTTACAACATTCTGACAACATGTAGCAGTTATACAAAACAATTGGGAATATAAAATAAAATAAATTACATTATTATATTTTCTTCATCTATTCACTCTTGGTTTTAGGAGTATCCTCCTTGTAGTATAGGAAAACAAATGAAAATAGATATACACCTATCATCATAGAGAACGCGCTAACATAATATGGGTAAGCACTAGGAATGAAGCGTTCATATTGAGTGTGTTGAAGTGGGCGCACAGACACCTGAAACAAAAAGACATTGATTACTGAAGCACATTGTCTATTTTATTAAAATATGATGTAAAAATATATTAGAATTGATTGTAATAAAAAAAAATGTGTAATATCACTGACCTGTGTTGTATGATAAAGTCTAGTGTAACCAACCCTGTCATAGTCCACTTTAAACTGATATACTCCCCATACATCAGGTACCTTGAAAACAGCTTCATAAACACCATTAGGCTTTTTTTGGAGTGTAGTGCGAATGAATGGATCAATACGAACAAACTCAAGCTGAACATCGTTGGCCTCAAACGGCTGCCATTTACCATTCTTTAGCTCTTCAATCTCAATTCTATAGACCTGAAAAATGGACACCAACAATGAATTTCCTTAATTCTAATAATACTGATGAATATAGACGAAATTACTCAAAAGTGATACAACTGACACTGACAAAAAGAATTTATACCAAAATAATCTTCAGAATATACCAAAATAATTCATAGGTATATATAGTAAAAACAATTGAAACAAAAGTCAGTAAATAAAAAGCAACTATAAATAATAGAATCAGGTGTTACTTTGCAGAAATCCATTATATTAAAGTTGGTAAAAATTACCTTGCATACATATGCTCGATAAAATATTACACTTCCTAGTGTAGTGGGTGTTGGGAGTAGAGGAGCTGGGATAAGTGGTGACAGGGGTAGTGCACGCAATTGATGGAGGGCGAGAGGTGCTCTTCAAACTAGATAAGACACATCATTTGGTTTTATTGAGTAGATGTACGCAAGGTAATTTTTACCAACTTTAACTACAAATAAATTGAAGTGGTATCTCCAAGATGTAGGTAGTCTTTGCAATAATTTCTTTCATTATTCAAGTGAACATAATCATATACTTACAACAGTGTCTGTAATAGTGTATGTATTTGATGACTGGCTTTCACCCTGTCTGTGGTGGTGCACACGTCTCACACGAAGGCGGCCCCTTTCCCCAAAAGCCCATTCACTGAGGTGCACCGCAAGGGCTTTATTGCCTGACAGATCTGCCTTCATTTTGTCCCCCTTCAAGTTATAAATACACAGATTAGTTAGAACAATGATCAAGACATCTTTGTTAAACTGTTATTAAATTAAAAAATTGGACTGTTTCAAAGATCTAGAGGTTGTAAGCTTGCCATTATCATGAGGTCCCACGTTCGAATCCGGGTCGGACCAAATCATCAATTAATTATTGGGGTTTTCTGTCAAGAAATTTTCAGTAGAAGCCCAGATTCTGGGAATTGGCGGTGTTTCACCCTATGCCTCCGAAAGTATGGACTCGGTGATGACGAGTAGGGAATTACCCCCTTGTTAGTCAACATCATACTTTACAAGCTACTTTTTGTACAAAAATAACTATTGTTTTATTAAATCTTTGGTGGTTAATTATTTTTAAGCAGTAGTAAAAAATAATATGGCACATAATAGAACTGTCACACAGAGGGGAAGGCAAAAGTTACGGACTTCTATTTGGCACAATCCTGACAAACCGCTTTCGCGTCTCTCACATCTATATACATGCTCGTCAGATAAGAATACAATTAATTGGCCCGTCTTCAATGTATCGTCAATTTGTTCAATGAACTTCGGTCTAGGATCTAGGATGTTCCTTGTGAACTCTGCCACTCACCTCTGCAGCTCAAGTTTACTTTGTCACTCTGCTCATCAAACCTAGCATATCTTCCCTAATCCTGGTCACAATAACTTCTTGGAAACCACACTTTTGTGTATCACACAATTTATGACCATTCAGAGCCAAAAAATTTAACATACTTCATAATGACCACATTTCTATGACATTAATTTTTCTTTCTTAAATATAAGAGTATAAGGTAGGTAACATCATTGACTAATTAAAAAGCGTGCAAATAGCAATGCAACAGCTTATATACAATATAAGTTGAATATTGGAAAATAACTGGTGACATGTTACAGCAATCATTATACAAGTTCAATGATATTTTAGTTACCCATTAGAAAACGGTTTCTTTTCATTTCATTTCATTTCAGTCTTAGGGGACAGTCTCACACAAAATGTTAATTTGTTAAGAAAACTGATATGTCATAAGATAATAATAATTTTGACTTAGACCTATAACAAAATTATTAATGAAAACAAAAGTGAATTATTTGTGATCTGACTTACATGAACTTTCGATACAGGAGAATTGAAGGCTTCATCAGAGAAAAAGAATAATGATCCACTAAAGACAATGCGAGCATTATTCCTAGCTTGTAGAGCAGCAATCAGAACTGTTTTCCGACCAACAGCATGAGGGTACTCCTTCACCTGTTTGAAAACAATAACTAGTTGTTGATAATTTTTAAATTTTATTATATTATTATTTTAAAGTTTTAAAGTAACAAAATTATTTGTTTGACACCAACTGGATTATGAATCTAGGATCCACAATATACATATGTACACTCATCATAGGTTTACAACAAAGATATTATAAATAACGGAAACATGAAAGAACATTTAACTTATGTTAATGTTAAGTACATTATCATTTAAATCAAAAAATAATAAAAATTGTTTTTCTATTGATTTCTTATAATCCATACCTGACTCTTGGGATTATAGCTGTAAGCCGTGCTATCAGCTGTAAGAATGGGTAGCACTAAACTGTTGTCTTTGTCCAAAATAAGACCAGTTCCTTCAAAAAGTAGTGGCTGAGTATTATGTGAACCAACAATGGTAGGTGCATTGATCAGATTCTTTGGCGAGACAACAATCCGGGTATGGTCACCATCATCCAACATATCATAATTGAAGTGATCAATTACTGCTGCAGAATCTTCATCCATCTAAAAACATATAAACAATAATTATTTGATATATGTATATTACAAGGAAGTGTTCACTGCACTGTTGGCAGACTTTACATGTTTCAGAGCACCTTTAACATTGTAACAACAGTAAATAATACCCATCATGTGCCCGGGCATTTTATTTTTTTTTACACGCCAAGTGTCAGGTGCTGTACGGCAGGTCGCCAGATACTGCCAGGCACTAATGTAAACAATGATATCTTTTAATTTTGTATGTCAGCTATATATAAAACTTATATGTATGCATTATGTATGTAAATATTATCAATTAAGCTACTTAATTGTTTACCAGTTTCTTATATCATTCTATTATCATTATATAAAAAGGTATTTGAGGTGTTAAAAAATTACACCTCTCAATACATTTTTTTTCACTCTACAAACATGAACTCCTTATATGTGGCAAAAAAAAACCAGGTAAAAACAACCGAAATTTGTATGCAGTGAAGTTTGCTTATGACGCCACATTACTGCCTTGTCTTTAATCTATGTTGTTCAAAGATTAGAATTAGAAACAAACAGTATTTATTTTTTAATTTTATAGCAAGTTGTAATTACTTGCCAAATGGGCAAATGGCATCAGCTGACAGGAGGTTATGCATTAGTTATTAACACTTGAGAGCATAAGAAATCCATATTTTAAAGTTCTCAACACTAGATATAAACTTGGAAAATAAAATTAGTAAAAGATATAAACTACATAACCCGGCCAACAGCAGTAGTAAATTATTTAGCAAGACTTTTGAGTTTGGAAGCACTGTGTCCTAAGCTTCAATATAAGAAAGTAAGGTTATTTAATATGGCAGCTCTTTAATATAATCAGCAGCTCTTGACAGTCAATATGAAGTAATTTAATCATTTATATTGTAAAATTTATTTAAAAAAAAAGTCAAGCTGGGTTTCTTGCTGGTTCTTCCCAAGACAGAGGGTTTTTTTTTTCGAACCAGTGGTAAAGTAAAAAACGACTTTCAATAAGAATTACACATGTAATGTATATTGAATAAAAAATTATTCTATTCTATTCTATTTTCTATGATATATCTTTTGAAATTAGTCACTATTAAGAACTATTTACAAAATTTATTTTAGAAACTGCTTGGAAGGAACCACCTCATTCCCAGGGGTTATTATCAACCATGTATTTCTTTTATACTATAATAACCCTTTTTATACAGTTTCAGTTTAATAAAACATTTAAACTTGGTAATAGAGAGAACCTGTACACTTTCCGGGACCTTGTTGTAATAGTGTATACCTTGCCCCAAGAATGAATTACTGACTCTGTGGATACGAGAAACTAGCAGCACTAGCTTGTGTTTGATCCTAGTGTTTACAGAATGTATATCACTTTTTTTACTAAAACTATCTTTGTTTTTGTGAATATACATTAAATTTTCGTAAATATACTGAGAGGCCAAAGTTAATATATTTATTTCTTTAAATTTATATCTAAGAGACTCTCTCGGTTTTACATTGTAAATAGCTCTAATGGCCCTCTTCTGTAAAACAAAAATAGTTTCTGAATCAGCCGCATTTCTGCATAGCAAAATCCCATTATACATTATGCTATGGAAATAACTAAAATAAACTAATCTAGCTGTCTCGACATTAGTGAGATCTCTAATATTTTTACAGCATAGGCTGCAGAACTTAGTCTGCTTGCTAATTTGGATATATGGGGGCCCCACTAAAGCTTTGCGACAATAGTGATGCCAAGAAAAAACAGTGGATACAACAGGGCTCAATTCCTCCCCATTTAAAAACACATTGGTATTCAGATTTTTAACATTCGTTGTTGTAAATTTAACACAATTAGTTTTATTTCCGTTCAAATGCAGATTATTAACGTTAAACCAATGCACTAATTTTGATATAGCATTATTCACTTCGTCACATTTAAATGATTGACGTTTAAGTTTAAAAATCAAGGAAGTATCATCAGCAAATAATACTATATCATGACTATCCCCTACAAGGTGAGGTAAGTCATTAATATACACCAGAAACAGGAATGGGCCCTGAGGAACACCCATTAGTACAGGTGACCCGGAAGAACTTTTACCATTGATAATAACCTTCTGCTTTCTATTACTTAAATATGAAATAATAAGTTTAAGCGCTGTGTTCTTCACACCATAGTACTATAGCTTCCTGATTAATGTCTCATGGTGACATAATATCTCCTATGCACTCCTATTTTTTTACAGAAGTGTAACATACAAGCACATAGTCAAACTAATGGAAAGAGAATATTGTAGCTCATCAAAACCTTCATTTACTTTTGATTATGAATCAAAATGCAGATGTGTTGCTACCCATAAGGACTAGATGGAATACCTCATTACCAGTAAATAGGATCTTTGGTTCTTGTCATTTACATTACAAAATACTAAAAATGAAGCATATATACTAGAGCAGATCCAGGCACTAGGTTCTTTTTTTTATAGGATAAGGGTGATAAACGAGGACACAGTCCACTTGATGGTAAGTGGTTGCTGCGGCCCATAGACATCTACATCTATCCTCTATTACAAATCAAAATGCAGATACGTTGTCACTTGTGAGGACTAAGATGGAATGCCTCATTTCCAGTAAAAAAGGCCTCTGGCCACGGGCACTCACCAAACGAAACGCAGAGGTAAGCCTCTACTTCACGCTGGTAATCTGTGAGGTCGTGGTACCACCCCAGTTCGAGCCGGCCCATCCATGCGACAGCAAAATCTGCCGCGTGGCTCTACCACTGTCTAAAATTATAAGACTAGGTTACACCTGTTCCAACTTTTAAAACTTGATCCACCTAGTCTCTCTGTGTCGTGTGTCAGTCATTGGAAGTTGAACTATATTTAATTGTATAAAAGTAACGCTACACGCACTCGTTTTGTGCAAGAATATATTCTGTCCTTATTTAACTACACTATTCCACAGTCTTTCTATCTTTAACTGTCAATACTTAAGACTAGTCGAGGCTTCAATGAAATACTAGGCAGATTTTACACAATAGGTACTTCTAAATACTCAATGAGAATGGAGACTATATGATGCAGTTGAGTGTCTAGTATGGACTCATGCAAATGTAAACTCAGTACCGTATTGATACCTACTCGACTTATTTAGCAATAGGTTTTCGTAAAAAAGATTTGTTATGTGATTAAAGAACTTTAGATTTATTTTTTATTCACACATTAGTGTTTATTGCTAAAAAAAATGGCTTCCAAAGGAAAAAATGTCGCTTGGGAGCAAAGGCCAACAAATGGCTGACTAATTTTAAAAATTCTTAAGATTGATTATTTTTAATTTAAAAAACGAAACAAAGATAATTACAAAAATAAACAAAAAAAGAAAATCTGATAACTCTAAACAAAAAAAGAATTGAAACTAGAATGTAGATAAATCTTGACGTTGACAGTCATAAGCCTTTGCAAAGTATGAAGGAATGATTACTATTCATTACATTCACGTATAGGGATCTGCTGTAAATAAAGATTAATCATACTTTACATAAGCGTAACCTATTCCAACAATACCAAACTTTATGCATATTTCACGGACTAGATAAAACAGGTATTTGGATCAAGTATTTGTACGGAATTGGACTAAGTACACTTAGTACAAAATTTACCTAGTATTACTCATCTCTAAAAAATACAGCAGCAATATACTTAGCACAGGATTTCAATTTATTTAAACTAAAATTTTGTGCTCATACAGTTGACTTATTATGCTGCAGTTATATTGTAGAATGTGGCTCTACCACATACAAAAATAACTTGTCTTAAACCTAATATATATAATAGCAATAAGGTTAAGTTTATGGATACATGTGTGCATTGGTGTGCAACACTGCATTGGTGTCAATGCAGGTTGCTCACAACTACGCTTTTTAGCAATCTACATTCAGAAGTGGATGATTTAGTGAACATATATATCTGAAAAGTTAGCAGTTCTTTGTCCTCTTGATCAGCCTGTAAGAGTCCAAAGCCGAATAAAGGTCTCCCCCAAAATAGAAAGTATTTAACTCAATCTACACACTTAGCAAACAGATTAGCTATCACTGTATCAGCCAACCAGATATCTCATATTTTTGGCATAGGTCTTCCTCACCAGTCAGGTTATTTAACAATTGATGTAAACAAAATGATAATTCTACCATCTATCAGAAGCCATGGAGGTATTACTGGTATTCTCTAGTCACCTCTTACCATAGCCACAAGAAATGTATACTTATACACAATCTATATACTATATTTGTAATGGGTAACTAATTACAAATATGTACTTAGTTTTGTGTCGGTGCTTAAAATTAAATTCTCCTTTGCTATTGATAACGTCGGCAAGTATGCAGATGTTGCCAACATACTTAAACTCGACCAGGATACCATTCAATAGAATTTTAATGAATAAAGCAATTAATTATGAATACCTCAAATCCACACTCCGTAGCAATCTCCCTGTACACATCACCGGCAGCCGCATTACCAGCTATGAGAACGTTACCACCATCATCGATGAATTTTGTAATAGTCTCCGTATCAATCTGTCCACCGAATTCCACCACAGACGGCGAAAAAATTATAAGATTTTTGTACAAATATTCGCCATATTTCGACAGAAGCAAATTAGCGTCATCCGCCAACTTAAAAGTAAGTAGGTAACCACGGTCTGAAATATACAATTTTGCCAGTTATATTATTAATAAATAATTTAAAAATCATCATCATAATAAAATATAACTTCTCCAGTCTACAAATTTTTGTATAAAAGTAAGCATGCTAAACCGGCAATCAGTAATTTTACCTTGTAAAGACTTAAAAAATTGCGAGTGTGTATCTCTAATATTTAGGTTATCTACTAAAACCAAAGTTTCTTGATCAGCTAGTGCTATTGAAAAACAAGCTGTTATTCCTAAAATTAAAGAAATCTTCATTTTAATGATAAAAAAGTAAATCAATTCAAAGTATGTACGACGTGTCCTTTCGGTTTCGGCTAGAGATGGGTAACTCAGGAGAGATAGATACAAAAGATATGAATCAATCCGTTTCCATCAATCACTCTTTATATCCATCCGCATCCGAATGTATCACTGTATCAGTATATATTTACAACTTATTCACTCAAGTCATATTTTAATTTTTTCTAACATCTGTGTCGCACATTGCGCACACTGCTTTTTATTATACCTCGGCCGGCACGGCCGGTCGTTCCAGGAAGATTTCGGAAAGTCCATAGTACAGACGTTTCTTTCGCAGGTCACTATTTAGAATGTTCTGTCGCGCTTTGGCAAGACGGAGAGAGTGAGTTGTTTGACCATTATAAACTGTAATACGCTAGCACAAAAAGGTAATTTGATAACTCTATGACTGGTGCATAGGGCTTAAAGTCATTAAGCGGTACGTTAACATTTAAGTATTATACTGGTTTGAACTGTACCTATGTGTACTTTGCCTATAAATTTTTTAGTAAACAATGAAAACTAATTTCAGTTATAAAACCATAGTTTTTAAGAAAGTTTTATAATCGATATTAATAGTCGTTTATATTCATAAAAAAAGTAGAAAAAAGATTTGTGATTTACAAAATTAAACAAATATATCAGTTTGCTTCATTAGTTCAACCTTAATCTCGGTTTGGGAACGAGAGTAATATTGTTTGCGTTAATGGCATCGAATAGAAAAATATATGAAGCTGTTTTGTACACTTAGTGACTGTTTAATTTAAATGTATGTAAATAAGAGATTCAGTGTAAATAGTTCAAAGTGTTTTTGGTTCTGTACGTACAGTTAGTGAATGTTTCATTTATTTTAAGTGTAAATAATTATGTGCAGTTAGTGTTTTATTAATAAAAAAAATGGGTTCACGAAAACGAAGCGCAGTGTGGAATCATTTTGAGGAAGTAGAACCAAAAAAAGCAAAATGCCTTTATTGTGCGAACATGCTAAATGTACCCGCTGGAAATTGTGGTAACCTTCCCCACAGTACCCCTCGTAGCTAAAAGACAGCCAACGCAGCAGGTATGTTTTCAAGAAGCCGAAACTATATAATATATATTTTCTACAAATTAATACAAACAATACCTACCCCACCTACGTTATTTACGTTAATCATTAATTTAATTATTATTTTAAATTAAAAATTTAAGTTAATTTCTCGAATAAGTGCCTATTAATATTTATCAATCATTACAATAACAGCGCTCGCTGTAAGTTTCACAGTACGCAAGCAACCCGGGTTCGATCCCCACCGACACCAATGAAATTGTTAATTGCAATTTTAAGTGCTGATTTACCACGTGCTCGGCGATGAAGAAAAACATCGTGAGGAAACCTGCATATCTGAGAAATAGGAAAACTTTAATTTTTTAATCATAACGAATAGATACCTAGAAAGAAACAACAGCCAAATATATCAGCAAGATACACAATGTTACGACCAAGCAAAATGCAAACAGCTCTATAGGTACTTATCTATCACTCTTACTGACAGGATTGAGTTGAGCGAAGCGAGCCACGCTGAGTGAGCAACGCAACGTAATGCGATGGGTGTCGTGAAAGCGAGCTTGATCTACTGATACATAAGGATATAAAGATATAAAAGAGTGATACATATCCAAGTGATCAAAAGATACATATCAATCTTTTATTTTAAGTGATACACATTGGCCATGTCTAGTTTCGGCCTCTTCTTCATAGATAATAGCATAGACATAGAACATATATGAGCATAGATTTTATTTATAACTGGCTTTACGGCTCTGGGTTCTAGCCCTTTTGAGCCTGAAGTGATAATGTATAATTTATCCTTCATAGTACACTGCTTCACAATATGTTGATGCGTCACATTGTGCAGCCCTTGGGAGATTTTGATGGCAACTTAAGCCAGCAGACAGCTGACAGTTGGCAATGCTTTCTGCATTTAATAAGATACTTTCTGCATTTTGTTCTATGACAGATGCTGTATAATCTACAGTGTTGCAAAAGTTCCAGATATATCGGGAGATCTACTGATTTTGGTTACTGTCTCCCAATATCCCAATTCCGTGACCATGTCTCCCGATTTTTTTGCATTTTCAACTCGTGTAAAATAATATTAACAAATAAAATAGAAAAATAATATTCAAAATACGGAAACACTAAAATGAACCATTAGCACAAAATCTATGTACTGGGACTTCGCAAAATTGCTCTCACCACGTCCTATTGGACCTATACCTATACCCTTATTAGGTTATTAACTTCGCGGTATGCTTAAAGCAAATTGCACTGAAACATCTTAAAATAGAGTTCATTATCTTCTGGTGAGTGTACGAGGGGAAATCCCTAAAGATAACTTTGTTCGTTCGTTTTGTCGTTCGTTTTGTTTTTCGAATTACGTGTACGTATAGTGTTGTTCGTTCATAGAATTGCATTCGCTAATTACTTACCTTCTTCTGTTGTGTTGTGATGTGAATACTTTATAATGTCTAAATCTGATAGTGACTGTGATAATCAACCAATTACTAGTGCTGGAGTTAAACGAAAAAAATACTCTCAAAATTATAAAAAGGAATGGAAATTACGACCAGAATGTTCTAATTGGTGAAAAGAAAGCCGAAAAGGAAGAAACTACGCATATTGCCAAAGTTGCAATAAAGATATTATTAGATCTTCTGCTTTCGATGCAGTTAAAAGCCATGCTGCTCTCAACTTCACAACAAAAACGCCAAAACTTTAAGATGATACGTATAGGGGAAAATAATCAAAGTTGCTACAATTTTAATAAAGATGAGAAAATGTTTACAAAAATAGATAGCTATTAAGAGGTGGTATGAAGACGAAAATTAATGATAAATGTTATTTTTATTTATTAAGTTTGGTTTGTCGTGAAGCGACAATTAAAAAAATATAGAACCTAACCTAAGTACAACAAAACAACAAAAGTAGAGCCAGAAAACAATATATTTAAATTTTTAAAAGGTATTTACAATTTTATAAAAAAAATGAAATGAGGATGATGATGAATGAAGTGAGAGTACAATTAGATTACAAAAAAAAATTAAGGTAGGAGAATAGGGGAATATAGAGTTGTAGTGGAGCCTAAAAGTCGAAGCGACACACGTTGCGATTGTAGAGGTAGGTTTCTTAGCAGCGACGGCACGCAGCGCCTGAAGCCAGCACACGCCGGTTGCGCTTGTAGAGGTAGGTTTCTTAGCAGCGACGGCGCGCAGCGCCTGGAGCCAGCACACGCAGCGTCCGGAGCCGGCGCACGTAGCGCCTGGAGAAGGGGCGCTCAACGCTTAGAGCCAGCAGTTGCAGCGCCCAAAGGTAGCGCCGGCGGTAGGTGCACTCGGCGTCTGGAGTAAGCAGTCGTAGCGCCCGGAGTAGTGTGGCCCCCGCGCTTGAAGTAGACTGCCGACGACTTCCGAGGTAGATGGAGGCTTGTAGGATTCCGGAGTGGTGCGGCTCCGCGCTTGAAGAAGGCCTCGCCGAAGACTTCACGTGTAGGTGGAGGCTTGCAGGATCCCGGGGCAGTGCGGCCCCGGGATAAGGCCTTTAGGAGATACTTCCAATTCGCGAACTGAAGCGAGACTCCTTTTCTTCACCGATTGTTCGGCTTTTATACCTTTCTAGAGAGAACGGAAAAATTATTTAAATTAAACGCAAATTTTTTGTAAATGGTCAAGAAAAAAGAGTATTTATGTGGAATTATCGAAATAGGAACAACAGATCCGTAGCAAATTTGAATATAATTACTATGGAAACGAAATAAATAGCAATGTCAAAACATGTCAAATTTTGGTTTTAGGTTTATAATAAGAAAACGGTAAGATTTAAGTGGAAAATCAGATATTATTGATATAGGAAAAAAGGTAGCGCAGCTGCCCACACAAAGCTCGAGATTGTAGAGTTACGGAAAACTAGCTAAAAGATCGAAAAAAGGTAGACTCCATTGACACCAATTTAAAAGTGCTGATTATGTGAAAATACGAAGTAGAAATGATTTGTTATTGTGTTCTTATGGTTTAAAATCGTTACAGGATCCTATGGAAATAAAGGTGATGTAAAATATCCAGTTTTGAGGTGAATGCAGAAAATCGAAACAGAATGGAAAAATGAATTTAAAATAATGTAAAATGATATGTAAGTAGCATAACACTACAGGTTATCGATTAGATTATAGTAAATAAACAAATGATTGTAATAAATTAAATAAATGATTGTATTATATTATCGTAAAATACCCTTATGTTATTCTATACTCCAGTTGCTAACTAAAGATAAAGCTTATTGCAAAAATATATCATTATTATAATTTAGTTTAAATTATAAAGACATATTTTGATCGCAAAAAAAAATCGGTTGTCTGTAAAGTCGGTTAACTGACGATAGTTGAACGTGACAACGCCGATTGTGCCTCTTTGTTGCTCGTTCCGCGCTCTCGCTTGCACTTCAAGCCTTAAATGAAACGCCTCAGAGCAAGGTTACGCCGCATGAGTCATGTTTTTTCGTGTGTGCAGCCAGCTTCATCGAATTAGAAGATGTTGTCACGTCAAAAATTCTGAAACGAGAAAGAACGGCATCTAAAAGAACCGGTTTTATGATGCATTTCTATATAAACCGATAGATGTAAATAAAAATCTCCCGATTTCTCCCGATTTTTAGCTGACAAATCTACCGAATTTTTATGTTTCACTTTTGCAACACTGATAATCTATAATCTATAATATAATCTATGTCTATGATATAATTTTTTTACCTGTGTTAATATTTTGATTTGATTTTGATTGACATTTCGTGAAATGTATTATTTTTTGTATTGAAGCTAGTTATGCTCTTAGAACTATTTAATATAGTTAAACAGTTGTTTGCCTCATTTTATAGTCTTCCATACATTTTGTTTTAAAATGATAGCGCGGTCCAAACACCGCTCGTCAGTTGAACTATGCTCGGATTGCGGCGCATCAGGTCAGCAATGTTTTACTTTCCTGTAACGCTATTTACATTACATTTGTTTAATGTTTGTGTAATCATGCGGTTTCAGACCCGACGTGGGCGTCCATCAATCGTGGATTGTTACTATGCGCTGAATGCTGTAGCGTCCACAGAAGTATGGGGAGACATATTTCTCACATTAAATCTTTGCGACAAGGTTCTTGGCCACCTTCACTCTTAGCGGTATGAACTTCATGTCTGTTTTAAATAGTATATGATCTGTAAATTGTAAACATTGTCTTATGTTTTTGTAGATGGTGCAGTCACTAATAGCCCAAAATGTGAATAGTATATGGGAACATTCATTATTGGATACTTCAGCGCCTAAACATTTGCGGAAGAAACCACAACCTAAAGATCCACTTCAGTAAGACAAATATTCATTTACAGTTTTATTAATAGTCATTAATATAAATCATTGGTAGCTCAGACTTCAAGCAGAATTAGATCCACACTGGTACTAATGAAATTGATGATTTACCATATGCTTAACCCTGGAGCCTGTTATGAGCATAAGCTGTTACTTTACTTATTTACTATTATTAAATAATTTAGAATAATTTATTTTTTATTCAATATACATTACATGATGTGTAATTCTTATTGAAAGTCATTTTTTACTTTACCACTAGTTCGAAAAAAACCCTCTATCCTGGGAAGAACCAGCAAGAAACCCAGCGGGACTTTTTAAAAAAATAAAAATTACAATATAAATGATTACGAACTATTTACAAAATTTATTTTAGAAACTGCATGGAATCGACCATTCATGTCCAGGGGTTCTTATCAACCATGTATTCATTTATACTATAATAACCCTTTTTATACAGTTTCAGCTTAATAAAACATTTAAACTTGGTAATAGAGAGAACCTGTACACTTTTCGGGACCTTGTTGTAATAGCGTATACATTGCCCCAAGAATGAATTACTGACTCTTCGAGTCAAGAAACTGGCATCACTAGCTTGTGTTTGTTCCTAGTGTTTACAGAATGTAAAACATTTTTTTTACAAAAACAATTTTTTTTGTGAACATACATTAAATTTTCGTAAATATACTGAGAGGCCAAAGTTAATATATTTATTTCTTTAAATTTATCTCTAAGAGACTCGGTTTTAGATTGTAAATAGCTCTAATGACCCTCTTCTGTAAAACAAAAATAGTTTCTGAATTACTTATATAAATAAACAAATTACCTATATATAAATAAACTACCTACCTCTAATTCTCACTAATGCACTGGTTTTTTCAACATTTTCCACACTCAAAGTATTGCAATTCAATGCAATAATTAAAAGTAATAGTAGTTCATCACTAAGTTGGCGCTTGTACTTGTTTCATTATAATTTTATTTAATTAAAATCCAATATGAAAAAAAACCCTGTCTGATCCATGATGGTGTTTTTAAGTATTGTTATTTAACAAGGTATTTTGTACCATGTAGAAAAATATAAAAAAAAATACATATTTATGATAGGTTTTGTAAAAAGTAAACGAGAAATGTTCTATTCATAAAAATGAATTAAAAATAGAGAAAATCGGTCACGGCCCATACATTCTGTGACCTGGTTATAAAATATTGCGAACATGACTGGTGTATGGATTAATCCATTCCCCTGGGCAGGAACTAAATCCTAAATTGAAATATTTAAAAGCCGAGGATCATAGAATGTTACACTTATGTATATCGTCACTTTTGAGATTATGATGTAGCCATGACTACAGCCATGACTACAACCTCAGCTAAAACAATTGATATGAAGACTATGCAGTAATATATACTTAACTAAATAAGTCAAGTCAATGGCTAAAACCACCAAAATGAATCGATAACCTTTCTAATCTTTTCACTGCTAAGTATCTAAGACACAGACAGGTGTTTTGACTTTTACCTCACGCTTTGACAGCTCTCGTGTCATAATACCACAGACTGCATACAGACACTCATAATACATTCTGTTCTAAGTATTAGTGCATTTTATATTTACTGTCAACCTATCATTTGCAACTTATTTCGGAATACTTCCCATATCCCCATCTAAAAATGATATTATTGATAATACACTATAAAAATAAATAAAAAATCTACAATAAAATCTAGTATTTAAAGAAAGTAAATGCATAATGGTAGTGTTACTTTAGTGTTATAATGAAACATGTACCACAGATAAAAACGGGACGGATTTAGATGTGTTCAAAACCTATAAAAAAGTAGTAAGGAAATGAGGTTTTTCATTACAAAGCTTAATTATTTTAGCGGCTCCCATAAAATAAGTTGGACCCCATAATTTAATATACACCTAAGTCACTATTTTTTGACGTATCAATAATTATTGGTCGTTTCATATTTTGGTCAGGTCTTATTTGACCGATGTTCTTTTATAATTTAATTTTAAGATTTTTTTAATCTGTGCCTCCAATCTCCAAAACGCTATCTGCCTTATTAGATTCCATCATGACGTCACTGATAAAGTAAACAAGCTAATGTTACAGAATAAATAATAGTACCACATACTAATGTGTTTTGTGTTAATGAGAAATTTTTCAAGTTATTATCACAATTGTTGACTTTTATTCCATATTTTTTTGACTTCATAAAGGAGGTTTGACTGTACACAATTTGACTGTATGTTTTTTATGTGTTTCTTTTTTATTTGAAAGCTGGTGCTTCTCATGTGGTCCCATATAAATTTGATCAAGGTCTGACCAATAGTTTTTGAGTTATCTTTAATAATTTTTATTGAATTTGGTTGCAACAAAATTTTTAATTTTTGCACCTGTATTGAAATAGCATCATGGAAGACGGATCCATAAAAGCAGAAAGTACTAATCTACTAAGAATAAATACATTGATGGTTACAAAATTTTTTGCATGTGTTCCCATTTTTTGTTTTGCCAAGTTGAGGAATATTAAAATATCAATGTAAATACCTATTAACAACTTTAGCTAAATTAAACAAATTATAATAAAAAAAAAAGAATTTGAAATAACTATCACATCAATAATTTGATGATTGTGACGTGACGACTTAATGTTTTTGGTAATGTTGAGGTATCTTTGTGTATCTATATAAATAAAATGGTAGAGGTTTGCAGTTGTGCACATATCACGGAAATACTAGTGGATATATTTCAATTAGGTTTTCTAAGTTTTATTTCTTAGACACTTTGCCCTTATTGAAAAAAATATTGCAATATCTTCATTTAATATAAGATTATTAAAGTTTTAAGGAACAACGATTTTTATAATCACTACATGTCATTGATGTGTGTAAGCGATGCGGACGAAGTCGCGGGTGTCACCTAGTTTTATATATTGTATAAATTAACAAGTTTCATTGACATTATGACACAAATTAATTAGAAATAAAAACAAACAACACGAAAAAAAAACTTGTGCTAAGGGAACTGGTAAATACTCCATTATAAAAGTCAAAGAGTATATTACTTAAGTATTCAATTTATTTATTATTAAACCAGCAAGCTGGCTTCACCTGGGTATGATCTATTAATGTGGCATTATTTAGATTTAAGATAAGCAAACGCCATTTATTTAATAATTTTGTTTAAATATTCAAGTTTTTCAAATAAAATATAGTCTAGACTCCTCCTGGCATTGCTCGAAATTGGTGTTTCATCACAATTGGTTTGGTTATTCCGAAGATTAGCTTGGACAGAGACAAACAGTTAGACAAATAGTTTAATAATGGTTATTTATGTCTTAATAGCATGCAAATAGCCCCCTAAGCTCAATAGAAGCCAGTTATATCAATATAACAGACAGACAGAAATTTTGTCTAAACATTCACTTTTATATTTTGTTGGTTATAGGTTAGGGGAGACAGGGAATATCTAAATTTGTTGTGACTATAAAGAGCTAATTATTTCTGCCAGTGTACTGTGTGTCATAATGATATATTTCATAAAATTTCAGCCCAATAAAGTCCGAGTTCATCCATGCAAAGCATTTACGCTTGGCATACGTATTGCGTGCCCGTCGTGATGAACCACCCAGTGAGTTGGGGAGACAATTGCACAGTGCTGTAAGGAGCTCTTCACTTGACACAGCTATGAGATTACTAGCTCAAGGAGCTGATCCAAATTACTATAATCAGGTGTGTTGAATAAAATGTGTGCAAAAGTTCAGTGCTATAAGTATCCACAATTGTTAAATAAAACAAAAAAAATATCTGTCAAGTTTTATTTTTAACCCCCTACGAAAATAGAGGGGTGTTATATGTTTGTAGTGTTTATCTGTGTGAATGTGTATCTGTGTGTCTGGCTGTGGCATCATAGCTCCTGAATGGTCGAACTGATTTTGATTAAATTTTTTTTTGTTTGTAAGTTGCCATAATCGAGAGCGTTCTTAGCTATGTTTTAAGAAAATCTGTTCCTCCGTTTGATGATCGTCAGCTCATTTTGTTTCGGCTGTTTTGGTATTTTTTTTTTTAATTTTAGTTAAATCATGCATAAGAGCATTGATACGTGAAATACAACCTGTGTACCTGTAGCATAGGCGACAAAAATAACTGCTCATTTCACATTTTGTAATAATATGTACTCTAAGTGATAAAACTTGTGTGATGTGTGACATTTTTTGTGTATGTATTTTTTATATGTATATATTTATATTATTCAATGTAAAATTACTTGGGAAACAGGAAAGGTTGAGCGTGGTGTTTGATTAAAGATATTTGCCATGATTTTTAGAAGACTGAGAACCTTTTCCTTTTCGGTGGAATTCGCACAAATTCCTTGTGACGCCAAAGGTATATTCCTTATTCACCTGTTGTCTTTCTAGAAGGAACTCAATTAGGATTTTTAGCACGAGCTTCTTAATTCTGTTGATTATTTCGGAATACTTCCCATAGATAGCATAGATAAACATCGACCAGGGCATATTAACTACCACTTCTTTGTCTATGAATGCTTTATACCATTCATTTATTATGCTTGATATAAAATATGACTATTGTCAAAATGTTTTTATAACATCAATTTATAAACTAATTTATAAAAAAACATTGGTTTTTTTTTTCAGGAGAAAGGTAGCGCGTGTTTACATGTCGCTTGTCGTGCGGGACAGCCTTCTCAAGCAGAACTGCTTGTTGCGTGGGGTGCAGACCCTAACACAAGAGATAGTAGTGGTAACACACCTGCGGAATGTGCTAGGTATGTGTCTATGTTCAAACCGTGTCGTATTTGCCGTGCTAGAGTATGTTGGCCGTTATGATGGTATGACAAATATATCACTGTTTTTGTGACCATTTTGACAAAATGTCTGATTTAAACTTTGTAATTCAGCTGTAATTTTTGTAAAATGCCATGATATGTTTATTCGCAGACAAGGCGGGCACACAGAGCTGGCGGAACGTATAACGGAACTAGTATACGAGGCGACAGATCGCATGATTGTGTTCTTAACGGGCGAACGACCCGCTCATGCAGCCGGCCGCCATTACATAGTACCTCGCGCACATGATACGCACGAAATGACGGATGTTGCAAAAGCTGCCCGTGGAAAACTGCAGTTGGTGGGTAACATAATACTAAATTAATGTGTATTTTCACAACTATAATTTTGTTTAGATAATTTTATGTTTCATAAAACCTAGGCACTATATTTTTTGGTTATTCACAATTGTCATCTTATTATAATTTATAATGGCTATATCATTACAGAATTTAGGTGGTGTCAGTGCTATAATCTGATAATAAGATGGCCTTTATGCGTCTTCTAGCGATGGTCTTCTATAGTTAGGATCTTTTGCCACCCAGGCTTTTCGCGTCTATTTCTACTTTCCTTTGCGGTTGTAATACATGTAGTAGATAGTAGATTTTTTACAATATTCTTATACTTCCACATGCCGAATGGCGGCGAGGTAGAAAATGTATTTGTAAGATCATGTCATAATAGTATATAATCATGTGAATTACATTTTTTATATTTATTATGCAATTTTTTGTAGCTACCAAATCATCTCTTTGAGGAGCTGGTTATGGACATATATGATGAAATTGATCGCAGGGAGACTGAAGCGAGTAAGTACTCATATTTAATTTTGATTAAAACCAACATTTGTTATGACTAAAGAGCGATTGCTTAGTATGTGTTGCATTTAAGTTTGGCAGACGCAGGCGACGGGTTTGGAGCGGTGTGGAGTGGCGTTTTTACCAGTGAACCCGGCGTTATCAGCGCCACGTAACCAGGGCCGTCAGAAGCTGGCCCGCCTCTCCGCGCCCGAGCTGGCGGCGCTGCTGCGCGACGTGCTGCTGGACGCCACGCGGAGACAACGCCTCGCCTCGCTGCAGCCTAGAGGTACGCGCACTTGCACACGAACACACCACACACACACCTCTAGCAATACTCGTGTTGCCCAGGGGTACACGTATTTGTACACGACCACACCACACCTCTAGTAATACATTGGTTCAGGGGTTCGCTTGCGAAGTATTTAGCTTTAAAATGGTATTTTTCATTAAAATCATGCCCCCCCCCCCCGCCTCTATCAAATATAAATAAAAAAAATACACAATAGTAGTACATATAATGAAGTTAAAAGGACAACTATCACAGCTATTTTTTAACGTGGTAGAGCCATGCTGCAGCTATATTAGTAGTATAGTTGTAGCACGAATGGCTCGTCTCGACCGGGGAAGGACCACGCTCTCACAGAATACCAGCGTAAAATAGCAGCTTAATGCTGCTGTGTTTCGTATGGTGAGTGTAGAGAACCCTTTTTACTGGAAAAGAGGCATTTCATCTTAGTCCTCACGGGTGACAACGCATCTGCATTTCGCAAACGAGGATCACCATCAGGTGGACTGTGTGTTCGTTTGTCACCCTATTCTATAAAAAAATAAGTAGAATTAAGAGAAGTTAACGAGAAATAGTCGACCAACTTATAAAATGCACTTGGATTAAAATCCTATGTTTAATTAAACGAAGCCGCCTGACAAATGCTAATGTCACTTTGTGAAATAATGTTGCTAGGTTCATTGTAATAGTGATGCGTTGAGATAGTCAGTAAGTATACGATGACTTGATGATTATGACTAAAATTAAATTAACCTATCTTGATTGACATTGTGAAACTTGTTGACGAATATTGTATCATTGAAATAAACAGAAAAAATTATGTTAGTAAGAATAATAATTTAATACTATTGTGACTCGAGGGGGCGCTCTGACTTTCGGAACGCACCCTGCGCCCGACGTGTCGGTCGCCATTTTGTGTGTCATTTGTCTTGTCATTCATTCGGCTTCTAACCTCCGGTCTGATCGCTCGAATATTTTCTCTGCGCGCTGTTCTCCTGATGCTTTTCTTTAGTTTCTTGTTAAGTTTTAGTTACGGTGTGTTTGTGTTGTTTGTTATTGTTGAGTTATTGAGTTTTTATATTGTTTCGTACAAACGATATGGAACATCAACCAAGCACGTCGAGCAAAAGCTCTTTTTCCCCAAAAAAGAAGAGACCACGGGCTTCTCTTAGCGTTACCGAAAAACTTATGGTACGCAATGTCTACAAATTCGTATTTGAGCAGGAAACTACTTCGGTATTACCTACTGAATGTACCTTGAGGAAAATTTTAAAACACTTAAATTTCAAATACGCCACAAAATCAAGAAAAAGCGTGCTAAATAGACGCGATATTGTTTTGTGGCGCCAGCGATACCTTCAAAAAATTAAAGATTTTTTGAAGGTATCGCAGGGAATGAAGGTACAGTTATTACCAAGATGAAACCTGGATCAACGAAGGTAATTAAAATTTTCTCTGTTTTATTTATCTATTACAGTGTAGGTATTGCATGTCACCAATGATGCAATTTAATGAGTAATTGTTATTTTTCTTTTTCTCGAAGGTCATACACCGAAGAAGCAATGGATTGACCAGACTGTACAATCGCCCCGGCAGGCATTCTTAGAAGAGTTGACCACCGGCTTGAAAGGGCCTTCAGGAAAAGGCAAACGGCTAATTATTAGCCATATAGGCGGGGAAGAATTATTTGTAGAAGATAGCTTACTTGTGTTTGAGGCTAAAAAGGAAAAAAAGATTACCATCAAGAGATGAATAGCTGAGTGTTTTGCGGAGTGGTTTAGTGGGGTTTTGCCCAAACTAAAACCTAATTCCGTAGTGGTGATGGATAATGCCCCCTATCACGCCAGAAAGTTAGAATAGCTGTCTACAATGTCTTGGAATAAACCAAGAATACAAGAGTGGATGGCGAGCAAAAATATCCCATTCGACGAGGCACAAATGGTAAAATCTACTCTTATAGACATTGTACGGCAGCACAAAAATGAACACTGCGACAAGTATGCCGTGGACGAGATGGAGTCACTGTTTTACGTTTGCCCCCTTACCATTGTGAGGTCAATCCCATTGAGCTGATTTGCACGCAGGCCAAAGGGTATGTTGCAAGAAACAACAAGACCTTCAAAATGAAAGATATAAAAAAACTGTTCGAAGAAGGACTAAATGAAGTGACTGCCGAAAAATGGAGTAGCTGCGTGGCTCACATAATAAAAGAAGAAGACAAAATGTTTAATCTCGACCACATGATCGATAGTGTCTGAGACAAGTTTATAATAAATGTTACTGACAGTGACAGTGATGATATTATATCTGATGACGATGAATAAAAAAAATGTAATACTTAGGCATAGTTTTTTTTTATGAAATTCCTTTGACGACATACACTATGGATAATTTTCGCCTGATGAACTGACAACATGGATGTACTTTAAATAAATCATGACGTAATTTTTAAAACCTTCAGTTTAAAAAAAAATATTTTTTTTTACCATTCAGTCGTTTTCAAAATGTTAACGAAATGGCCCCGAGTTTCCGGCGCCCCTTTAATGGGGCAGGGGTGCGAAGAATCTCCGGGAGGAAAACCGGCGACGAGGTTCGCCACCCGTCACGTTCTGTCCCCCGGAGGGGCGAAAAGTGGATTGCGGAAGCCCGTCTGGCTACATTGAATGTATGTGGAGGAATGAATGATAAGATGGATGAAGTATGCGGTATGATGTATGATAGAGGAATAGACGTGTTATGTGTGAATGAGACGAAACGGAAGGGAAAGGATGCCACTACACATGGCATGTATACCGCGTACTGGTCTGGTGTAGACGAGACCGAGCGGGCATGCCAGGGAGTCGGTATCATCCTTTCAGAAAGAATGGGTCATTGTGTAAAAGAGTATGAATGTGTAAGCCCGAGACTGCTATGGATACGAATGAAAGTGGGCTTAAAGAAGTTGTTTGTTTTAGGGGTCTACGCCCCAGACATGTCTAAGCCCACTTATATCCGAGAGCAGTTTTGGGAGTTGGTAAGGATGGTGCTAATGAAATGCAAGGTTAATGAAAATATTGCGATATTAGGCGATTTTAATGGAAGGGTTGGGGTGAGGAGGCTTGGTTATGAAAGGATATTGGGAACGTTTGGTGATGAAAGTATAAATGAGAATGGTGAAAGCCTTCTCGCCGTATGCGTGGAAAAGAATCTTGTTGTGACGAACACTTTCTTTCGTCATAAGAAGATTCACACGTATACATGGGAAAGAGGTGATGATAGAAGTATGATAGATTTCATAATTGTTGATGAAAGAATGAGGAGCGCGGTGGTAGATACAAGGGTTTACCGGGGCTCTAACGTAGGGACGGATCATTACTTGGTCTTATGCCGAATTAATGGTCTTTTCAGACGTTGGAGGCATCGGACATCTGTGTCTACCACAGCGTTACAGCGTATAAGAACAGAGAGGTTACAAGATGAAGGTGTGAAAGAGAAGTTCAAATGTAGATTGAGAGAAAATATAAGTGGTATTACTGAATTGTGTATAAATGATTTAGACTTGGATACTGTGTGGTATAATGTCAAGAAAGGTTTAGTGGATGCAGCTACCGAAGTATGTGGTGTAAGTAAGAGAACGAATGAAAGGAAAAATAACACGTTATGGTGGGATGATGAGGTACGGATGGAAGTTGAAGCAAAGAAGAAAGCATGGCTAGATTTACTAGCAACCAAGGCTAGTAATTCTAGCAGTATGAATGATGATATTGAAAGGAAAAAGGCAGTTTTTAGACACCTAAATAAGAGAGTAAAAGAAGTAGTTGAAAGGAAAAAGCAAGAAAGAACGGATAAGAATGATAGAAGAATATCGGATAACTTCCAGGCAAACATTAAAATGTTCTGGAAACTCGTAAGAACTACCAGGGGACATTCACAACAGCCTAGAATGAATGCTATACGAGACCAGAATGGCTGTATTCTGAATGACGAAGTTTTGAGTTTAAGGAGATGGAAGGAATACTTTGAAAGCGTGTTTATGAGTGATGAGACGTTTGAATTAAATGAAATAGAAATTGCGAAAGAAGAGGAAATAGATAGAGATATAAGTATAGATGAAATAATGAAAGCAATGAAAAGTATGAAAGCAGGTAAGGCAGCCGGTTATGATAGAGTATCTCTCGAAATGCTAAGGGCTGGAGAAGGAGTGGTGGCAGACCTGCTGTACACCTTGTTTAATTTATGTTGGGAACTTAAGCGGGTACCGGGAGAATGGTGCAAAGCCGTGGTAGTCCCAATATATAAGGGAAAAGGATCACAGCAGGATTGTAAAAACTACCGTGGTATCAGCCTTCTTAGCATTGTGAGAAAACTGTATGCTAAGGTACTAATTGAAAGAGTAATGAAAGAAACTGATGGAAAAATTTGGGATGTGCAAGCGGGATTTAGAAAGGGAATGGGATGTACGGATCAGGTCTTTTCCATGCGCATGATCGCGGAGAAGTTTTTGGCCAAAAACCAAAAAGTTTTTTGTGCATTCATAGACTTGGAGAAGGCTTATGACAGAGTGGACAGGGAGGTGTTATGGCAAACACTGAACTCATTTGGGTTGACCGCTGGATACCTGAGGCATTGAAGTCTCTATATAGGGACTCTAGTGCTTGTGTCAGGATCAACGGGGCCTACTCGGACTGGTTTGGCATCCATAAAGGTGTCAGACAGGGCTGTGTGGCTTCCCCGTGGTTGTTCAACCTATTTATGGACAGTTGTTTGGAAAATTTGAAAGTAGAAGAATCATCATCATCATTACAGCCCTTCACAAGTCCACTGCTGAACATAGGCCTCCCCCAAAGAATGTCACAAAGCACGGTCCTGAGCCACCTGCATCCATCGACTTCCTGCATGTCTTACCAGGTCGTCACTCCATCTCGTGGGGGGACGCCCTACACTTCGCCTACCGGTACGAGGCTGCCACTCGAGAACCTTTCTTCCCTATCGGTTGTCGGTTCTTCGAGCTATATGGCCGGCCCACTGCCACTTCAGCTTACTAATTCGTTGGGCTATGTCGGTTATTCTGGTTCTACTGCGGATATCCTCATTCCTAAGTTTATCACGCAGAGAAACTCCGAGCATAGCCCTCTCCATAGCTCGCTGAGCGACCTTGAGCTTCCTCATACGGCCAGCAGTGAAGGACCACGTCTCAGTTCCGTAAGTAATCACTGGCAACACGCACTGGTTGTACAATTTCGTTTTAAGGTTTTGAGGTATGTCTGACGAGAAGATGTGTCGTAGCTTCCCGAACGCTGCCCAGCCGAGTTGAATCCGTCGATTGACCTCTCGGTCGAAGTTGGACTTACCTAGTCGGACTATTTGTCCCAGGTAAACATACTCGTCAACAACTTCGAGCTTAGTGCTCCCAACAACTACCGGCATAGGTGTGACATGGACATTAAACATAATCTTTGTTTTGTCCATGTTCATCTTAAGACCTATCCGTTGGGAAACACTATTGAGGTCATTGAGCATAGTGCTTAGGCCGTAGAAGAATGCAGGTTAAGAATGGGTGAGTTAACCGTCAAATGCCTTTTGTACGCCGATGATCAAGTCATACTTGCATCGTCGGCAGCCGAGTTGCAAATGATGGTTACATTAATGAACAGGACATTAAAAGAAAAGGGAATGAAAGTGAACGCATGTAAGACGAAAGTTATGGTTTTTGAAAGAGAAGAAAGTAAAACGATATGTGAAATAAGAATAGAAGGGGAGTTGGTAGAGCAAGTAGATGAGTTTGTATATTTGGGATGTGTGTTTAGCAGGGATGGTAGATATGATAAGGATATAGAACGACGAGTGAATGCAGGAAATAGAGTGAATGAGGCTCTACACTCTATTGTGAAAAGTCAGAATGTGTCCAAAAAGGCACGTATGGCAATTCACAATGCTGTGTTAGTACCTACTTTAATGTATGGTATTGAAAGTTGGGTGTGGCAGAAGAAGCATGAGAGTAGAATAAATGCTGTAGAAATGCGGTTATTAAGGAGTATGTTAGGGATGAAGCTGAATGACAGAGTGAGAAATTGTTTAATAAGAGAAGAGTGTGGTTTGCAAGATGATATTGTGACCAGGATTAAGAAAGGAATGCTTCGGTGGTTTGGCCATGTAGAAAGAATGAATGAGGAAAGAGTGACAAAGCAAATTTATGTTGCAGAGGTGAACGGCATAGTCGGGAAGGGTCGCCCTAGGCGAAAGTTTATCGACCAAATTGGCGATATATTAAAAATGGGCCAAATCAAGAGTACCTTTAACCGACGAGCGTGTATGCGTAGGTATATGGATGTGGAGGAAGCGAGAGAGGTGTGTCAGGATCGTGCCAAATGGAAGTCCATAATCTCTGCCTACCCCTCTGGGTGACAGGCGTGAGTGTTTATGTTTATATGTTTATGTCCTTTTCTTATCAGTCAGTCATTTTATTTTCCGTTCAGTCATTTAGTCACAACACTATTTTCGATTCATCAAAACCTGACAACCCAGTAAACGTCAGGCAGCTTCGTTTAATTAAAAATACGACTTTAGTAAAAATTTCGTTACAACTCCATAGAAAATTATCAAAAACTAAGTACATTAATAACTTTGTAATTTTATTGTAACCCGTTAAAAATAAACATTTTATGAAGAAAACGACTTACATATATGCATTACTTCTATTAGCTTTACTTTTTCATTTGCGGGATAGATAGGGTATTGTTATAAAAATCTAAAAGTTTTTTAATTTTTTTTCAATACCACTCCCTATTAGACGAGTGATTTGAAAATAAGTCCTTCAGTTACGATCTTTGTATGAGCGCCCACTTTTAGTCGTTATAGCGGTCAAACTGCGAACTCACTTATTATGCTCAATATCAAGGAAACTCACGTATTGTAACTGGCAGCTACGGAACACTACCTTTACATTGTACGTGGCCTGACACGCACTTGGCCAGTTTTTTTTAACTATAATGCTATGAAACTAGACCTGATAATTCTGATATAAAAGTAATGGTAGATCTGGTGGATATTTTTATTTATTTATTGAATGTGTATAATAATTGGTAAAAAAATGATGCAAGGCATTAAGTAAAATATAACAATTTCAGCACTAGCCGGTCCATTAAACCCATTGCTGTCAGGTAGCCACTTGAAACACATATCTCAGATGTCCGATGACGAGCCGCTCTACGACTCTGTGGCTTCCGATGATGACTACGCGGCGTTAGCGCCCATAGATCTCGATGTAAGTACTCCATGCCGGTCGATTTATAATTTTCCCTATGGAATTAAAGTATCTTTTATTATATTCCACTTCGCTTGTACATTTATTTTGAGGGAAGACACTGGCTCTTGAGATGCTGGTTTAACTACATTAGTAGCCAGGGACTTCACATTTATTTGTAAAATGTTATTGGTGAAACGAAGTTATTATTTTATCATTATTACTTATAAAATATAATAATTCATTTTAGCAAAATGATTAATTTAATATTAAAAATAATATATTATTGTTACGGCCTACGGCTGCTCCCCTAAAGTTCAGATCCTCCGGGGCCCATCAGCGGAGTTTCAACGAACAGACGTAGGTCGGGCCTCAATATGCCCGCGTGGAAATTCCTAATTACAATAAACAATAAGGGGGAGCGTTCTATACTACGGCCAGTCGACCGGGAGGATATTAGACGGAGTTTACTTACCTATATCCAAGGCGACTGGTCCCTCCGGAGTCGGTCAGGTCGCATGTGGTTGTGTAGTGCAAGGGAAATAAGGTGATGCGATGTATATCTGGGTGTGACTAATGGTGATTGACCCTAGACCTTGGCCGTCGGCAGCAGCCCGGGCGTCGACACCGCTCCAAATTGAGGGAACCTTCCGCGGCGTTGTCCACAGTCACTTTCCTCGTTCATCACGCTGACAGTCCATTAACTCTATCGTACGATTAATTAACTTACAGAAGCCACTAACTCTCGTTTGTTATAAAGCCTAACACACAAAACTAACAGGGAGTGCCCGGATCAAAGGTCACTACCGCTTCGCGTAGCAACAGTTATTTCTAGACTATCAAACGCCGCACTATCTAATATTGTCGAATGCACTTATACAGATTCTGATTCGGACCCAATAAGTCCCGGGAAAGGCTATCCAACAAGGAATGCGCGTTATAAATCCTAGACAGGATATTTACTAGACGCCCTAACTATTCCGCGGTTCCCGCACAAAAATTGACAGCGTGCAGATATTAGCACAGCTAGCAGACGACTGCTGCGCTTGCGCGCCCTACGCGCGACCGAATGTCAGACCGGTATTGCACCGAGCCGCGCGCCCTCTGACGTCGATTCCGAAACCACCGTTCGAGCGTAAACAATTATAGTTAATTGAGATTATTTCAGAAAATAATAACGAATATTTGACAAACAATTAAAAGTAGTTGTTATGGTAGGAATTGACATAATTTAACATCCTTATGGTTTTATTTTTTTATCATTGTAGAGTAAACAAAAAAAAAGACCTATGTCAGAAGCAGTCTTAATTAAAAATGGTCCTTTTTATAGAAAGTAAGGGTGGCAAATAGGCACACAGTCTACCTAATGGTAACTGGTTGCTATGGCCTATAATAGATAGGTCCCATCTATTTATCAGTTGCTTTGCCACCCCTGAGTTAGTGTACTTAGGGGTGACAAAGCAACTGGATTTTGGAATGTCTCTACTAATAAAAAAATATCTCTGTTTTGTAATATGTAGAGTCATTCACCACATAAAACACAACAGAATTACGTTGGTATTTTGTTTGACTCTTCCCCGGATGAGCTGCAATTCTTACTGCAGCCATAATAAAGCTGCAATGCGACTATCATGTACAAAATAGCAACATGTAAGTTGAATTAGTTACTTAAAAAAGATCCTAGACTACATTAGCCTTTCTCCTCTTATGTCTAGACAGCACTGCATTTCTTGTTAAAATTTCATCCTAACATCACTACGAAAAACATCAGTTCTTTTCTGTGAATAGTTTGTTCAAGGTTATTACAACATTAGTTACAGATAACGAGTATTCTTCCACGAACCGCCGAAACCGTGTCTTCTACATACAACCCATCGCTACCTGGCGAACAGTCGGGCTTGGATTCGAAGCAAACACAATCACTAACAAACACGATACAGCAGGTTGTACCCGAGCGGCACGACGAAATCGAAACGTTACGAAAAGAACTAGACAACAGAGACTCGACCATAACTGAACTGAAAAACCAACTAAGAAATCTGCAGACCATAGTGGAGCAGCTGACGAAAGAAAACAGCGTCTTGAAGACCACGAGTAGCATGGACGACGACAACAGCATAACTTCACAGACTTCTATAAGCGAAAGCACTAGCAATGTTTTAGACGGGAAATTCCCAGAGAGGGGGCGAAGCCTCGAAACGGATCAGTTAACTCTGACTGAGGATGTGGATGTGAAACAGTCGCTGAAGAACGCGCAGAGACCGGTCAGTATGTATGAGACTAGAGAGGGCCCAAAGAATAACTGGCAGGTTACTAAACATCAGGTACTAATCTTTATTAATTTTACTAATTTCTTTAGATGAGATAAAATTAATTTGAATATTTAAAATATGAAAATTAGTTGAATTTTTAATTAACTTACATTAACTTGTAGTCGTAGATTATTATAGATTAAACCAAGCTCTTTACTACTTTTAAACCAACAATTTTACAAACAGTAGTTTAACAAGTAATATAATGCATACTGTGCTATTTGCGTCATATAATTTAGAAACTGCTTTAAGGTTTTCGGGTAAATTAGTTAGATAAGAATTTAAGTAATGCAAATGCGTATCAAAATAGAATTAGGTGGTACCTTGCGGAAATAACTCAAAAATGATAAATTCAATTAGCTAAGATGCAAATTATAGAAATTTAATTTTGTTTCTCATTTTTGCTATACAGGGTTATTTTGCAATATAGGTACGGCTTAATTTGCAGAGAATGTTCAGAATGTATACAAATAAATAAAATTGAAGTGTCTTTTTTTAATGTCAAAATAACAGATTTTTTCTAAATGCATATGTAAGTATATACGATACTTATAACAAATACACAATTTTTAAAATTTTTGTCTTTTTGTTTCGGCTAATCTCCGAAATGGCTGCACTGATTTTGGCGGCTTTCACTGGCAGATAGCAGATGTTATAAGGAGTAACTTAGGCTACTTTTATTTTTGATAAAGAATTAGGGTTCCACGTAAAAAAACTAAAAAAAATAAGATCCAATCGTAATAAATTACACGCGGGCGAAATCGCGGGGAACAGCTAGTAAGTAATATAGGTGAATGGTGAAGAAAAATGATTTTAAAAAAATCTCAAAAATTCCGTCCTTTTTATCTTTTAAATTCAAAATGCGTGGTAATGATTGAAACTGATTTTCATTCATAAATATCTAACGCTTACTATTTTACACGCCGTTCCCTTCCGTTTACCGTTACATCACTAATTACGTCCGCTCGTCCGGCCGACAGTTGACAGTGTTGACCGTGACTTCATTATGTACGCTTCGTTACCAACGGAAAGAAGATATTCAAACCGCGGATACTATAAAACTATGAAATGGTGCCATGTTACATTTTAAGCAATGAGTGATTACGTGGTGAATTTACGTGGAACAGTATCCCTTACTTTCTGTTTGTAGCTTACCACACTACCGGGTCTAGAGCGTTCGCTGACACAGAGCGCGCTCGACGGGGAGGAAGCGTGCGAGATGGAGGGCAGTGCGGGCGGGGAGGCGGTGCAGCGGCGCGCGGAGGCAGTGACGCGAGCGCTGCAGGAGCTGTGGGCGGCGGCGCGCCTGCAGCAGCCGCACCTCGCCGAGCGCGCGCACCACATCCGCTGCGCCGTGCGCGCGCTGCTCGCGCTCTTCCCGCAGGTACGCACTGCGTAGTGTATCACATCACGGTGCAGCGCTGCAGCAGCTGTGGGCGGCGGCGCGCCTGCAGCAGCCGCACCTCGCCGAGCGCGCGCACCACATCCGCTGCGCCGTGCGCGCGCTGCTCGCGCTCTTCCCGCAGGTACGCACTGCGTAGTGTATCACATCACGGTGCAGCGCTGCAGCAGCTGTGGGCGGCGGCGCGCCTGCAGCAGCCGCACCTCGCCGAGCGCGCGCACCACATCCGCTGCGCCGTGCGCGCGCTGCTCGCGCTCTTCCCGCAGGTACGCACTGCGTAGTGTATCACATCACGGTGCAGCGCTGCAGCAGCTGTGGGCGGCGGCGCGCCTGCAGCAGCCGCACCTCGCCGAGCGCGCGCACCACATCCGCTGCGCCGTGCGCGCGCTGCTCGCGCTCTTCCCGCAGGTACGCACTGTGTAGTGCAGCGCACCGCACCGAACCGCTCCGCACATGGTGCACTGTGTACTGTTATTGTCTGTAGTTTGGAAGTTTTGTTATATTTTGAAATATGTTTTTGAGTAAATGCCGTTTACTTTAATTGATTTCTATTACAATAAGATTGTTTTTAGGTTAGTGTTTATTCATGCACTAATACGAAGTAGTAAAGCAATTCCGACTTGGTATTAGCAGACGAGCACAGAGGCGAGCCTGCAGGAGCTGGTGGAGGCGCTGCGCGCGGCGAGCGAGGAGGTGCAGGCGGCGTGCGCGGCGCCGGCGCCGCTGGACCGCGTGCGCGCGGCCGCCTACGAGCTGGCGCGCGCCACCAAGCTGCTGGTCACGCGCCACCCCTCCTAGCGCGCGCCGCGCCTGCGCGCCTCGCTATAGTGCCTGCCCTGCGCCACGCTCTGACTGCGCACTGCTGTCACCCATCCACACCAGAGAACAACCAGTGACAAGTGCCGCATTACTACCTAGTGTTGGATACCTCAGTGCCCCGTGTGACCACTTAGTGTTCAAGCAGCTTGTGCCGCGTGTGACCGCCCATTAGTGCCCAGTGAAAAGTACCGTGTTGACTACCTAGTTTCTGAGAGCTCAGTGCCGCATGTGACCACCTCATTTTCAAGTGCTCGGCACCCCCTAGTGCCCAGTGACATGATTCACATGTGACTACCTAGTGTCCGAGGGCTCAGTACCCCGTGTGACCACTTAGTGTTCAATTGCTCGGCGCCGCGTGTGAACCCCTAGTGCCGAGTGTCAAGTGTATGTAATGGACTCTTGACGACCCTCTGTCAGCTTATCAAGTCAATTTGACAATTATGATAGTGATTTCACTTGCACCCAACCCAAACATATTGATGCTGCAAATCTCTTAAACTTGTGTTACCTGCTGGTAGACGTACAGACCACATTCCACTAATTTATATATTAACTGGCTTGGTTTACTTGTAGGGTCTGATGATGAGTGCTCAATGCCATAAGTGATAACATATATTGAGCTCATCTAATAAAAGTATCTACCAACACTTTATAACGTGTGTGACTTATGGCTTTCTTTGCAGCAACATTGTTTTTATCTATAATATCATTATATTTGCTTTATGCATTATCTGCATTGTCATTATCATACACCATTACCATTACCGTTACAGCCCATTAAAGTCTACTGCAAATATAGGCCTCACCCATAGATTATCTTATGGGAGGTGGGATATTTGCCATAGTTGCGATGATTTGTACCACAGTTTTTTTTTTAATTTTAAACATTATTAGGAAGATGTTGCTACCCATCTCCTGATTTGTTTCCCTCTTTCACCTCTACACCCACAGGATGATGATATACCAATGTACATCTATGTAATGTACATACACCAGTGCCTTATGATTGCAACTGAAGGTTAGCACAACTGTTCACTGTACTTTTGTCTTTTTTCACTGGCCTAAACTGTCAATTTTAGTAACCAGTGATTACACCTCCTTTGGGCATTTATTTTATTACTGTACTTTAGTGGCACTTTCTTGATGAACTGTGCACATTGTGCTATATTCTGTGGGTTACAGTACACAATCACTAATTAACAATTATGTAAGAAAATTAATAGAATCAGGCGTTACTTCTCGAAAAATCCATTATATTAAAGATGTCAAAAAATTAATCAGCTAAGATCCGCTTCATAAAATAAAAGATCCGCAGAATGAAATAAAAGATCCGCGTTATAAAAAAAAGGTCCGCATAATAAAAATTATTTTTTGACATTGTTAACAATTACGTGAGACAGATGATTCTGAGAACAACTTACCAGAATTGTCTACTTACAACTCTAGACATTCAATGGTGTTATTTTACCCCGAGTGGTACAATTTCAGAGAGATTTAAATCGAAATATAAGGGCTGGTCGTATGTTTCATGTTAATCTGGTTGTTTGAAAGATAAAAGAAGCTTGCATGTGTTCAATAAGTACTGTTTAATGTTATTTGGTGTTATGCTGTTAAAATATATGTATAAGGTGAAAAGTTCATATTATTTAAGTATAGTTGGATTGTAATATGCTATCTAAACTTCTTACATAAGGAAAAATGTGAATTGATGGATACAAGACTGGCTTGCAGTGTTTCACCATTGCAGTTGCCATTCTAGGCTCATGGTCAATCTTAAGATTTTTTTAAGGTCAACAATTCATATTACTAAATGAATAATATAATATTGTAACAATGTCACTTTTAGTAAATAAATTGAGGATTTGATTAAGGATGTAAATTTATGCAAGATGCTATATTTAAGGTATATTAATTGTTTTAAGTGCCTGCCATTTTGTTCTTCCATACATGTGAAACTGTGTTATATATTTGGCTAATATAAACATAATATAGTCTGTTTCAATTCTGTTTTCCATAAAAATAAAATAATGCTTAGGTTCTTTTATTTTAAAATTATTACACAAAATATTTCAATCAGTATAAAATGTATAATCTGCAAGATACATTAGAATTCACATTTATTTCGATTTTTAATTTTATTAAATATGTAATAATTTTAAATAGAAGTATGAAACATAATTACATAATTGTATATTTACAGAAAATTGGATAGGAACAGACTTAGAGTTAGAAATTTGTATGATTGAAACCATTTCTGTAAAAAAAAACTTAATTAGTATTGCCTTTGGTCAAATTTCCAATTGTGTGGAAACAAGGCTAATCATTTGTGTTCATAATTTTTTTTAATATTTTCTCATGCAGGGAAAACAAAGGGATCTTAGCTCATTCAGTTAGGAACATAATTAAAATGCTTTCATTTAATTAGTTAAAGCATTTAGTATGGAAAATCCATAAAATATTACTAAATGATGATATGCATTCACCTTATTTAACCTTGAATTACATACACCCTTTATTTTTTTTTTGTGCACATCTATAACACAGTATCTTTGGAATGATACAAGTATCATTCCACTCCTTTTATAATAACAGTGAAAAAAGGTATCTAATTCAATTTTCGATTTTCACTTAGTATTAACACTTTCACAGCGGAGCATTTAAGGCGCCGCTTGATACGGTACGCGGGCGATTTTCTGTATATTTGTGAATGTCATATAAACTTAACTAAAATGAGAACACTGATAATTCTTTTTGTGTATATAAGATATACTATTGCAGTTTATGATTAGTAAATAAAAATACATTATATTATTTTTGTTATATTTATAAAAAAAAACAATATAGTCCTTTTTTTGAAAAAAAAATAAGTGTTACATAATGTATATGCCTCTTTATAGATGGTAATTCTTTACCGTGTGATATTTTTTAAAACACGGGTCATTGCACAGTGGCACATTACAGTCCGGGAAGTAAAAAACAGTCTCCTTGCGTCCTCGTTTTCCAGTTTCGTGTTTGATAGTGTCGGCACAAACTTTACACACTCTCGTCACTTTTGTCTTCTTTTCTGTACTTGGAATTCTTTCAATGAAGTGTCTTCCCACTAATCTCGAAGTCTTGGCGATCAGGTGAGCTCCATGAGATGGACCTGCATCATCAGTAGACCTAGCTGGCACAATGCCTTCACCACAAGCCATCAAAAATTGGGAAAACCGCAATTGGCAGCGTGCAGGCTGCTGTTTGTTGTAAATTACCATGGAGTTCACCATGGCCCTTGCCACTAAATGGAAAAACATTTTTTTCCACCACTTCATACATTTCCTTTGCAGGGCATAATAGGACACGTATTGGTCGTTCAGGTCTACACCGATTTTATTTTTATTGTAGTCTAAGACGCAGTCCGGTTTTATTTTTTTTGCCAGACCTCCTTTAGCTTTTACAGTCACCTCTGTCCAGGTTGCGGCATGTTTGGTCGTCAGGAAGGGGACGTCCCGCTTGTCTTTCCACTTACAGGCGGTGAGATTCCCACAGTGACAGAAAGACATTTCATTCACCTCCAAGAGCTGTTGTCGCCATTCTTGGGGCAAGCCACGCCGGTTCGGCATCACAGTGCCGACAACACGAGTATTTTTCAGCCAGAGTAAGTCTGCAACCGTTGGGCTAGAGAAAAATCGATCCATATATATCGTGTGCCATTTTTCAAAGTACGGTTCACTTAGTTCTGTGACTATTTGCTCAACCGTTTTGGAATCACCGACATATGGAACCATGTTCAAAATATACCCCGTCGCTGCGTCACATAACATATAAATTTTCATTCCGTATTTGTCGGGTTTATCTTTATTGAAAACTCGGAAGTGTACTCTGCCTCTAAAGCCACACGTCCCTTCGTCAATCGTCAAGGCTTCCCCAGGATAAAAACTGGTAGCACACAGCCGACAGAGCTCGTCAAAGTATGGCCGTAGCTTGAAAAAGGCGTCGTAGTTATCTCGACCCCGAGGTATGTATTTAGAATTGTCGTTCAGGTGTAGACAACTGTAAATAGCCCTGAAACGATCTCTATTCATCAGTTTGGCCGCATATGGGGTGTGTATAATTTCTCTTGTGGACCAGTACGCGTCAAAGCTTTCTTTATGCACTAGCGACATATGAATTATTATGGAGAAAAAAAGTTTCAGCTCTTCCAACGTAACGGGTGTCCACTTATCGAGCATACTCCCTGGTTTTAGCAGTCCTCGTCTAGCCAGCTTGGTCTTCATCTGCGCGGCATATCGATTCGTTTCAGTTTTCAGGAGCTTCCAAAAATCGTTTGTGAAAAAGACTGAAAAGCAGTCGATTTCTGATGAATTCTCATCTATGGGGGCTAAGACACGACATACTTCTTCGAAGACAGGGTCTTCTAATGGACGTTCTCTTGGCACATACGTCCATCCATTGGCCTCGTCCATTTCTCTTAGAGTAATCTGCATTTGTGAAGATCGCCCGTGTGTAGTTGAGCGCACTGTACCGCCGCGCTGACGCCCGCGCCGAAACCTTCTCTGTGTACGCTCCCGAGTACGCCCTCGCTGGTTGACCGGTTCACGAAATTGCTCCTGCTCCTCAACTGCACCATCATCGTGCCTTTCTTGACTGGCCACAACCACTTGCAGGTCAGACAACAAGTCTACAAAATAAATTTCTATTGAAAGCATACTCAATACGGAAATGGTTTACCTACATAGAAATAATATAAATATAAATTATTATTTACCTTCAATTTCTTTATTCTGAGCCTCCTCAATATCAGAGTCATCATCATCCTGTAAAAAATCAGCAATCTCGCGCATAGAGATCGCACGATTGCGCTGTGAGGAAGCCATTTCGCGCCAAAATGCAGTAACGTTCACCCTGTTTACTCGCCAGCGGCAGACTGAGCGGGCGGCGCGGGGTATCGCATATTGTAGCTCTCCTGTTCCCGCTTCGCACATGTATTGCAGATGTGTGTATAGCTTATAAACTCGGCTACAAATGCGTACCCAGCGAATCACGACTAGGCGACGTGATTTTCTAATAAACAGTATGAAAGGCGGTAACGAGTGCCGCTCGTGATTCGCGAGTTGGAGAAAAATATGAATGCCGAGCGGTACTCGTGATTCGCTGTGAAAGAGTTAAAATGATGATAAACTCACTGTCTGTGCATTAAATGCTCTTAAAGTTTTACTGTTTTTGATGCACTTACTAAGATCTTGTTATATATCATTTTCATTTTATTGGATGCCCTCACATTTGCTGAATTTCATTGATCGTTTTGGTTACTCAACAGGCTATTCCAATCAAGAAAATCTATTCTCCTATAGATTTGCTGGAATATTTTGATGTAAATTTCACATGTTAAGAATCCATTATTGTCACTATGGCAAACTACTATGTGTATAAGACATAATATTTGCATCTGCGCAGCTATTTAACATATTAAACACTTTCACGCTGACATTGGGCAAATAGAAGAAAAAAAAAATTATACTAAGTACACTCTCTCAACAAAAATTGATCAGTCTTACGTTGCCTACAAGTTTATTTAGTTTTATTTGATCACACATGTTAAATGTCATAAATGTATTAAATCTGTAGGCTTACCTTTTAAGGTAATTTTGCTGTAGTAAGGTTTACGGCACAAAAAAAAGATACAAACAAAATATTTATACATCTTCAATATAAAACCCAATAACATTTTTTTTTTGTTATTCCATTAAAGTTTTCATTAAAATTGAAATCTAAGGGAGAAGATATTTAAAAAAAAATTATAATTATTTTTATCAATGAACTGTCAACATTATTGCTTGTGAAGAAAGGGCAGGGCCTAAAGGTCTAGATACGAGGCCATAAACTCCAAAAAAAAAAGGAAGGACAGTTTGATATAGATTTAAAAAAAAATTCTTACATATTTTTCTTAAAAAAGTAGAAAAATCCTCAAAAAATGGAATGTTTCAAGGAGGAGGCTGTGTTTTGCTTAAATTGAATGTAATTGTTTAAATAATTACTGTATTTGTGAAGTACATAAAAATAGGAAACGGTTTAATGAAATATCCAATAGTGAAAGTGTCTCTACAATATTAAAATCCTATACTATAGTGATGTTTTTTTAGCAGTACATTTAATTTTGTACTTAGTTAATAAATAATATTACATCATGTTTAACATACAAGTAGAGCCTGTTGTTATAATAATATAATTTCATACCTTACTTCCTGTTGAACTTGCATTTAACTTTAAGTATATGAATGAGTGTAAAAATAGAACTTTGTCTATAATTATTAATAATTAATTCAAATTTTTAATAATAATGTGTATTAAAATTATTCTTTATAGGATTCCTCAGAGACATTTCTTATGAGCGTTAGTTTTTTAACTTCTATTTATGATTTTCTACTCTATTCTATGATCAATGTATATATTATGTAATATAAATTATGTTCATTTCCCTAAGTCTGAAGCCACACAATGCATTGGCTATGAAATCCATTGTTTGGCCTCGTTCTGATACATGTAGAAATATTTCAATTTAAATCAAATAACGAGGGCTAATAAACTTTCGCTCACCAGATGTTAGCGACATCTGGTGAGCGAAAGTTTATTTTGTTGGGACTGAGGTGAAGTTATTTGTTACATACCGTCATTATAATCGAAAAGTTGCGTTTTAAATAAAAGTTTATCGTTCTTTAGTGTATGTAGTGGTGCTATTTAATTTTTTTACACTTTTTTCACTCTTTTTTTTTAATTTTTATCCGGGAATTGGTTTATCAATATCTAATGTAATTAACCCTCTGTAACGTATGGTAGACTACAGGCAACATACCGTTTCACCTTTCCTAAATTCTCCAAGTAAAATTAATTCGTTTTTTCAAGCAATGTAGAATATTGTCTACACTCTCTTCTTTCAATTTAGTACAAGCATGTCAAACTAGATGTCGCTACTTGCCTCAAACAACGAAATATCGTTAGTGAAGTGAAAAGTTTCAAATGCTCAGAGTATGTTAAAAGACAAAAAATATAAAAAAATAGTTATTTTGTTTTTTGGTGTTTCTTTTCTTGATAATCTGTAAGGTAAGTGTTTATAGTTTACCATATTATTATATTTTTGCTGATAATTTACAGTTTTTATGTATTAGGTGACTATTAGTGTTTGTGTCTTGTAGGCTACATTGTGCGGAAAGGGGAACTATCTTGTACGAACACTGTGGATATTTACACTCGTTATTATTTTGTTTTAGCATGGCTCACCAAATTCACCTAAATGAAAACGAAATCGCCTGCGCACTTCAATGTGATTTAAGTGAAGATGGACTCGACTTAGATGACGATAGTTTGATGGATCCTGACTTTGAACCAGATTTTGAAGTGTCGATTGACGAATCTTTGGAAGCTGAATTCGACATAGATGCACTAGTAGACACCTTGAATGATGACGACCGTAACTCCAACTTTGAGGTAGAAGTAGGGCCGGCCTTATCTAGTTCAGACATTCCAGGTACTTCAGATCCCCCTGTAAAACGTCGAAAGCCTGAAAAGCTAACATTACGGTGGAAAAAGAAGAATTTAGAGCTGAATGCACAGCAGCTGGCTTTTACTGGCAATGAGTCATTGAGTTCTGATATCTTGGACCTTGATACTCCAATACAGTTCTTTCTTTTTTTATTTCCACCAGAACTCATAAAGAGAATTTCGGAAGAGACAAACCTCTACGTGGTACAAAAAGATCCAAACAGCACGTTTCGTGTATCGGAGACAGAAATGCGTCAATTTATAGGGGTAGTATATATGATGTCACTGATTCAGCTACCCAGAGTGACCAACCACTGGAGTTCCGTCTTGGGTACACCTGTAATTCAACAGACCATGCCTTCTAATAAATTTGAAAAGATTAGACAATATCTGCATTTTAATGATAACACTAAATGTCTACATAGGACCCACCCTGACTCCGATAGGATCTTCAAAATTCGCCCAGTCGTTGATGCCTTGAACGAATCTTATGGTAAAGTTCCATTAGAAAAACAACTTCGTGTAGATGAGCAAATTTGCTCTACAAAAGCGCGTAACATGCTGAAAAGGTATAATCCCAAGAAACCGCATAAGTGGGGTTATAAATTATATGTTTTGAGTGGTGTTTCCGGTTTTGCTTATACAATAGAGATTGAATCTGGCAAAGAGAATGTTGTCAGACCCGACGAGCCAGATTTAGGAGCTTCTTCCAATGTAGTAGTGAGATTATCGCGTATGATTCCGCGACACCAAAATTACAGGCTCTATTTCGATAACTACTTCACATCCTTGCATCTTTTGGAATATTTAGCAAAAGAAGGTATTCTTGGGCTAGGTACTATTAGAAGGAATAGAATACCTGACTGCAAGCTGTCGTCAGAAAAAGAGATTATGAAGAAAGATCGAGGATATTCTGAAGAGTACATAGCTGATGTCAACGGCGTCGACGTGTCAACGGTTGTATGGAAGGACAATAAGCTTGTTACATTGGCTTCCACATTTACTGGTCTAAATCCTATAAGCGAAGTCCGGAGATACGACAAAAAGAACTCAAGATACATAAACATCCCGCGACCTAATGTTGTGAGCGAGTATAACCGTCATATGGGCGGTGTGGACCTTGTAGATAGCATTATGGGCATCTACAAGATAAAACTGAGAAGCAAACGTTGGCAGATGCGTCTCTTCTATCACTTCTTAGACCTAACAATGGCTAATGCATGGCTGTTCTATAAAAGAGTCTGCAAGTATAAAAACATTCCCAACAAGACCATCATGGCATCTGCAGATTTTCGCCTGGAAATTGCCGAAACATTGTGCAAGATGGGGGTGATAACGGGTTTAACAATACGCCGATCTATTGAAGGTCAAATCCTAGCAAAGAAACACAAAGGACCTGCCCAACATGTACCTCCACAAGCAGTCCGCCAAGATCAAGTCGGTCACTGGCCTCAATGGGCAGAAAAAAAAATCCGTTGTAAGTTCCCAAAGTGTGCTGGATTTACTCATACGGTGTGTGATAAATGCGGCGTAGCTTTATGTTATACCAAAAACAAAAATTGTTTCAGGAATTTCCATCTGTTGTAACTGATTTACATTCTTCTCAATTAAAGTGATATTAACTAATTTTTACTGTTGTAACTCATTGTTGCCTAGGAGCTACACTCCCTTTTTTGTAGTATTATGCTTGATTTATAAAAAATTACATAATTTTAAAAAATACGTATTTTATTAATTTCATAATCCTATCCGATTCCATGAAAAATATGTAATTTTAAGATTTTGAGTTATAGAGGGTTAATATAAAATATATCTAATATTTCAGAAAGGAACTTTAATCCTTACATTTTCCGATTGAATTAATCCCCCCCCCCCCCCTTCCCTCCCCGTCATGGAATCTGTCAAATATTTCACCTCATTACTAAGTGTTGCTGCCCTGGTGTCAGAAATGTCGTGGCCCTCAATACAAAGTTGAATTGAAAGTATATTAGAAAACGTTACCTTCATGAATGTTTGACTTGTTACATGAGAGAAAACTAAATTTTGTTATCAATGGCTAAAGTTGTGGCAGGTATTTTGTTAGTATAAGGCTAATGGCAGTATTTCTATAGTAAGTATAGGTGCTTTAAATTTTCTGTAATCCCAGTGTTCGTAACCCGTGCCGACACACGTTGAATTTGATGAAGTTGTGCCTCAAAAGTTATAGTGTATTCATACATTCATACATTTGTTAGACGAGCGTAGATAGGTGTGACATATTTTTATTATGTCAGTTTGTAGATTTTTATACGAGCGTTTCATATTGTTCTAAATGTTAATAGATACGTGAATGTATAGCAAGTTGATACTCTATGAATTTTAATATAGTTTGGTAAGAGTTGTGCTCTTTTAGTTCTGCAAAGGAAATTCGCTCTTGTCAGGTTGGCTAAATTGCGTATAATTTAAATTTTGCTCGTTTAAGGTGAAAGCGCCAGGGTAACCCGCGAAATTCAAATTTTATTAAGTTTTTTGCAATTTGTAGGTCAGTGTCAGGTTGTATGTTTAACAAAATATGATTCGCGACCGTAACAAACGTGGTAGAGCCATGCTGCAGCTATATTAGTACTATAGTTGTAGCACGAATGGGTCGGCTCGACCGAGGAACGACTACGCTCTCACAGATATATAATACCAAATATATAATACCAGCGTATAATAACAGCTTAACACTGCTGTGTTTCGAATGGTGAGTGGAGAGAACCGGAGACCCTTTTTACTTGAAAAAGAGGCATTCCATCTTAGTCCTCACGGGTGATAACGCATCTGCATTTTGATTCGCCAACGAGGATAGATGTAGATGTCTATGGGCCACAGCAACCACTTACCATTAGGTGGACTGTGTGCTCGTTTGTCACCCTATCCTATAAAAAAACCGAGTATGTATTTACAGAATTATAATCATCAATACAACCGTCTATATTCGTATAACCCCAATTGTATGGCTATTTCCAGAAAAACTCATTCAAAGGGATTATATGAACTTAGAGGGTTGTATTGGTGATTTTAATGACTCGTTACGGTCGCGAATCATATTTTATTAAACACAATCTGACCCTGACCTGCAAATTACAAAAAACGCGTGCCACCCTGAAGCTTTCACCTTAAGTAACATTATTTATGTAAGTAAAAATAAAATGCGTTAATATTTTTTACTGTTAGACATATTAGCCACTTACGGTATATTAGGCGCTTCATATTCAAGTATGTCTGGTTTGATTAACTCTGTACAACGTCTGTTGATAAAGTTTATTAACATAAATATTATGTCTCTTAACCGCAAAAAGGAGCCAGCTTCACCTTGACCCCTTTTTTCCGAAATATATCACTGGAACACACCGATACCGACAGTTGTTGGGGTTAAGATATTCTGAAAACTCAACATTGGGCGATTCATTGAGTCTAGGGCAAAAGCAGCTGCAAGGAAGTAAGATGGTCTTGCAAAGGTGCCGCGGTACTTCACGCCGAGACAGCTGCACACTATTAAAAATCAAAGTCCGGTCGTGCATTGACAATTGCTTCCATATAGGCTGGTGCTACAAAATGCCGCCTAGTGGCTTTGGACTAAATGAAAAGGCGTGAAGAGGCGTAGTGGTTACCAAAATTTGGTTAAAGCCCATCTTTCTAGTTTCGAGCACAAGTACAAAGTAGCTAGCCTTTCGGTGTTCCACAGGATACATTTCGGAGAGTGTGCGTAGGAATTGCATGACTTAATTTCTCTCATCCTTTCACCATCGGACAACCAGACTACCAGTCCACTCCACCCCTTTGTAGACGACGTCCGCGAATTCGAACCGAACGGCTTGCTTCGTAGTGGAATAATTTGCCAGTATTTGTTTCCGTCCGATAACAGTGCAAACACAATAAGAGCCAGACCTTGGAACTCAATATTAAAAAGATTTTGTTCTCAAATGATGGCGTATATTGACGTACGCGGTTCCTATATTAATACATTTTCATTACTTATTTATTTTATGCTATTTACCTAAATGTTACCTAAATATTCCTGTGTGAATTTCGTTAGCAGAGCTAAATGTATCGAATGCTTTTGTAAGGAATGTATTAGATAATAATTTATATTAATTATATCAAAAAATGAGTATTATGTGATCACTATAATGTGCCAATGTCTCTGTAAAAGACGTAGTTTAGTATAAATTGGATAGCAACATTGCAGGGAATCCTGTTTCTAGTATCAACGCAGTACTCGCATGAAAATTGTAAGTGTATTACGAGCGTTCATTTGATGTTCTTTCCGAAACCACGTCTAACTGTTAGCCGTCACTGCGAAAAAAACTAAAAAGGTCAATATATTAGGAATACGCCACTTAAGATATTTATTTCCCATAAACACGGCGCATGCTATTTATCTCAAAAAAGTAGGTATATAAATCAGTTCATAACATCATGTTTGGTATGGCCGGACATGTAAAAAAAATATCTAAGAATAGTGGGCTAACTTCATTTATTGAAGTTATACTTCTTTTGGAGCGTTTGGGAAAAATGATGAGATTGAATTTATACGATACGCGCGCGCACCGACACCTAAAAACGACACCATTTAGTTGTTACGACGCGCGCGCACACTGACACCTAAAAGCGACAACTTCAGTGGGTAATTGTCTAAAGTTTGTTTTTTTTTGACGCTAAAGAAGTATAACTTCCTACGTGCGTACATAAGTACACACATACACACACTTTTTTATAATTTTTTTTTAAAAGTTCAGAAATTCATTACAAATTTTGATCTGGAAAGACATACGAAGAAAGCAAATTAAGCACAAGCTTTTTTAACACTCGCTATACTGTTAAAATTAAATGTGATTTTTTTTTAATTTCTACGACATACTAAAACACGCACCGTGCAACTATTAACTTAGAAGAGTAAGAGTGTCAAAATAGCTATGTCTACACCAGTGCGCTTTCCTGTTCATCTTGCGTCTTTCTCTAACGCATGCCTGAGCAACCTGAACAGCAAAATGAACATGAAAGCGAAATTGAAAGCGCACTGGTGTAGACATAGCTAATGGAATATAAAGATAAATACCCACAATATTCTCGCAGGCTTTTAGAAAATAATAAGTACCTGCTGCTAATTGAAGAAACAGGATTCCCGGTCGAATCGAATGGAATTTATTGAAATTTATAACATAATAAAATTTATTATTAATTTTGGCAACAGTTGTTTTTGTTTTATTATAATTCCCGAACCTAGCAATGTAGAAAATAACTTATCTTTCAAAAATAAAGATATGTTGAGATAACATTTTTCAAAATGTGTCTTACTTAATTTACTTTTCATTTTTGTAAAATGCATTCTTTTTCATCAGCCATAAAAGTAGACCAGCTAGACATGAGCCTCTCCCACGTTTTAGGGAGTATTTGCCTTAATCTTCAATCTTGGCTGTCTGTGAGCAGGCTGTATCTCGGTATACAGTTGAAATTTTCACAGAATGTGTATTTCTGTTGCCGCTGTAACATCACTCAGGACTCACCTACTAGAAACTAACTAACTAAACATAATGCGCGAGTCCGACTCGCACTTGGCTGGTTTTACAACATAGAATTGAGAAACGAACTTACAGCCCGTCCAATGGTAAGTGGCTAATGCAGCTTAAAACGTAGTGATTATACAACATGTAACAAAAACCCTGTGGTTCCCGTTAAGTACGTTATCAGGATCAATATTCAAACCTATAGAAATAACTGTTTTTTAAAAACTCGACCATATTTTGGCAAGTTTCGCCTCGCAATACTGACACTCCTCTCTCCTCACGGCTACACCACCACCGCATTAACGGTGCGGTCCCGCCAGAATCGCAGTCCTCCGCAATTAACAAACGCCCTTCTTCTCCCTCGACTCCACACAGGCTGAGATGGAAAGGGGGAGCGGACATCCCTCCCGATACAATCCACCAATGCGTATCCGGAGTGGGCTAGGCAAGACCACTCGGAGAGGCAACCTCGGGCTGCCCTGTTGCTGCTTTGTCTACTGTGGGTGACCAAGCCACGCCTACTAAGCCCCCCGCCACAACAAGGAGGGAACCCCTTCGGAGATTAGTGGTAGGTACCTACCCAGACTGACTTCTAGATAAAAAAAGTAACCTACAATCTAGTAAATGCATAATATGCGTTAAATTATACAAATACCTACTCAATTCCAAATCTCCAGCTGGGGATATGCACCAGCATTAAATTGACTTTTTTTTTATAGAAGAGGGGGCAAACGAGCATGCGGCTCACCCGATGGTAAGTGACTACCGCCACCCATGAACAAACGCAACACCAGGGGAGTTGCAGATGCGTTGCCGGCCTTTTAGAAAGGTGTAAGCTCTTTTCTTGAAGGTTCCTAAGTCGTATCGGTCCGGAAAATTCGCTGGTGGTAATTGATTCCACAAGGAAGTTGTGCGAGGGAGAAAACTTCTTCTAAATCGCACAGTGGTGGACCGCCAATCATCCAGATGGTATGGATGGTAACGCGAGTTTTGTCGCGATGTGCGATGTTGAAATTGAGCGGCTGGAATTAGTCCGAACAATTCCTCAGAGCACTCCCCGTGATAGATGCGATAAAATACGCAAAGAGATGCAACATCTCTACGCAGTGCCAGTGTATCGAGCCGATCAGAAAGAACTCGGTCGTCGACGATTCGAACCGCTCTGCGCTGGATGCGGTCAAGTGGAAGGAGCTGGCACTGGGGTGCCCCGGCCCAGAGATGAGAACAGTATTCCATGTGGGGCCGAACTTGCGCTTTGTAAAGTTGCAAGCGATGTGCCGGCATGAAATACTGTCTCGCTCTGCTGAGCACGCCAAGCTTTTTAGAGGCCAATTTGGCCTTCCCTTCCAAGTGACCACGAAACTGCACACTATTCGATTTGTCGACGCCAAGGATTCCGATACTAGCTGAGGCAGCAAGGGGAGTGCCTTGAAACTGAAGAGATACGACAAAGGGGTTCTTTTTAGCGGTAAACGCGCAAACTTGTGTCTTCTGGGGATTAAACTGGACTAGATTTAGTCGGCCCCATTCCGAGACTTTGTTAAGCAAAGACTCGACTTCAGACACAAGTTTGTTCCGGTACTCAGCGACGTTTTCCCGAGAAATGTTGGCACGGCCAGTATATAAGGCATCACCAGTGCTGTCGTCCGCATAGCATTGAATGCTACTAGTTAGCAACATATCATTGATATGCACGAGAAACAGCGTTGGTGATAGCACGCAGCCTTGTGGAACACCAGCGTTGATAGGCTTGAAATCAGAGCATGCACCGTCTACTACGACCTTGATGCTCCGATCAGCAAGGAAACTGGTGATCCACTTGCACAATTTTTTGGGAAGCCCATAGGAAGGAAGCTTCGAAAGAAGCGCTTTGTGCCAGACCCGATCGAAGGCCTTCGCTATGTCCAAACTAACGGCCAATGCCTCCCCCTTGGACTCTACTGCCTCCGCCCATCTATGAGTCAGATAGACTAGAAGATCACCAACTGATCGACCTCGACGAAAACCGTACTGGCGGTCACTAATCAGCTGGTGATCCTCAAGGTACCTCATGAGCTGGCAGTTTATAATGGATTCCATTATTTTGGAGAACAAGGAGGTGATGGCAATAGGCCTGTAGTTGGACGGGTCTGAGCGGTCGCCTTTTTTAGGGATCGGGTGGACCAAAGCTGTCTTCCATGAATTCGGGACTAAGCCTTGGGAGTAGGAGTATCGGAAAAGACGCGTTAAAACCGGTGCCAACTCCGGAGCACACGTCTTCAGCACAATGGGAGGGACTCCATCGGGCCTCCTCGACTCACGCACTCACATCGCGGGATGGTCGGCGGTGTGTTCTCCCCGTCATCTAGAGTCGAGTTGGACGCAAAAAGAGAGGTCAACAGATCGGCTTTCTCCTTTGCGGCACGGGCCAGTGAGTCGTCCTCCCTGTGCAGAGATGGAAGAGATGGCTGACAGAAGTTCCCTTGGACAGCCTTGGCGAGAGACCAGAATGCACGGGTTCCCGAAGGAAGGCGAACTAGTTTCTCGCCAATTCTGCCGATGTGCTCAGACCTTGCCTTGGCAATGACGCTTTTGAAGGACCTGGAGGCAGAATTATACTTCTTTTTAAGTGCGCTGGTGTTTGCATCCCGAGACGTTGATGCGTCAGCCCAGGCCCGGTAGCACTCCTGCTTATAGCGTGATGCTATTTTACAGAAGCGACCAAACCATGGCTGGGATCTGCCTCCGATGGGCACCACAGAGGATGGAATAAAAAGTTCCATACCCTGAAGTACCACATCAGTAACAGAATCGGCAACAACGCTCGGATCTTCCGGCGAGAAGCAAACTCGCCCCCAAGGGTAGGATGCAAAAAAAGACCGCATCCCGTCCCAATCAGCTGACCTATAGTGCCAAACACGGCGGCAAGCTGCAGATCGCAACTACGATTGGAGCGTGAGTGGCACCGTACTCCGGATCAGACAATGGTCCGAAGAGCCCAGAGGGGCATCGACGGAGACCTGATATCCGTCCGGATGAGAGGTCAGCAGAAGGTCCAACAGGGAAGGTACATGGTCTTCCAGATCTGGGATCCGCGTAGGCGAAGTAACCAGTTGTGTTAGACCATATGCCAAAGCAAAGTCATAGACAGATCTACCCGCATGATCGGTTAAACGAGAACCAAGCCATTCAGCGTGGTGGGCGTTAAAATCACCGAGTATCACGATCTCTGCGGATGGGACCTGTTGTAGCACGGAGTCTGCAGCCATTTGGACGTGGTCGATGAGTCGGTCTGTGTCGGCATTACCGCTATGGGACCTATAGAGGCACCCGCAGACGCTTTAATTTCACTACCATGTTGATGGGGGGGGGGGGGGAATTGGGCCTCCGGCCACCTGCACTCACCAAGCGCAACGCAGAGGTAAACCTCTACTTCACGCTGGTATTCTGTGAGGTCGTGGTACCACCTCGGTGCGAGCTGGCCCATCCGTGCGACAGCAAAAGCTACCGCTTAGCTCTACCACTGTTTAATGTGATGACTTTAAAAGTTTCTTTCAAAGCTGCTCTCTTATTGACTTTCCAGAAATTATGCAAGTGTGTCATATTTTTCTCACAGATCCGGAGCCTTGGGATCGTAGTCGACGGTCCATGTTCCGACTCCATACCTGTGAATGCTCGTATTCTACAAGGCTAGGTGCTATCGTCTACTCTACCCTGTTCCTTCTATATATCAACGGTATGTTGCAAATTAGTAACATTACAGCAAAATTCCGCTCAGTAATCGTCATCAGCTTAAGGCCTGAGTGGAGAGTAGATAAAGTAAGGTTAGTAGTAAAACCTGTAACTTTGAATTTAAATTCAATGTTTCATAAATAATGCATACTGAGGGACTGCAAAGTCCGAATACTGTGACTTTAAAAGTCAATTACTAATAAACACCAATTTTTTTTATCAATTTAAATTGAGTAGTGCATGATATTGTTTAAGCAATTTAATTTGTTTGAGACATCAATACATATCTCGCATTATGTTTTAAATTTGACTAATTATTAATTTACTTAAAATGAGGTGATTATTGAAGTGAAATAATAGATATCTTGCCGAGCACATTATAGTTACGTAGAATAACATTGGCCCAATATTAGATATCTTTTTCTTATTATATAAATGTTTAGACGTATTTATCGTTGCCCACTCAGTATTTTAGTTGCTCATTTATTATTCAGTTCGCTTCTACAAAGGGATATAATAGTTTGCCACTTTTTGCAGCTCGTTTTTAACTAATTTATTGGTCAACATTATTCTCCACGAGATCGAATTTCGATCACGACGGCAAATCTCAAAGGAGACTAACCATCTGCGCAGGATAGAATTATAGTGTCCGAGTGTATGAGCAAAGACAGGTACACTCTCTATTCTCTCACTCACACGTTATCCGACACGGCCGGAGAGATATCAGGCGCAAGACCAACAGCTTTCGTACTTTCCGAGGCACGGGGGTGAAACACCTCAAACTTCCAGATTCCGGGCTGCTAGTGAGAATTTCTTGATAGAAAAATTCATTAACTGATATTGGCCCGACCCAGTATACGAACCCGGGACCTCATGATCAACATCTGCGTTTAGGATCACTAGACAAACGAGCCAGTCAGACTAATCAAAATTGGCAGGCCGTTCAGTCAACATAATATTACGAATATAGGTACCTAGTATAGGTATGTACAAAATGTTTCGCTCGTTAAATAAATTCCCTATAAGTAATTTATGGTGGAAAGCGTTTGACGGACCATATACATACGGAATATACAAAAAGATTAATATATAGGAAAGGCATACATTATAACAACATTATGTAATCGTACTAGCTTTTTGCACTGCGACGTTACCCGTCTAACACACTTGTGTCTGGGTACACACTTGTGTCATCATGAATTCCAAAATCAGGCGTATCGTATCGAGTATATTAGTGATAGGTTCAATTTTGTATATAGTTGCACAGAGCAGTTTAAGTACATTTTTATGTAGGTAGATTAAAATAATTACAATTATTTTTATGTAAATTGTGTTGATTTGATTTAGTTTATTGTTCCTACAGATAACACAATTATTTAGTATTTCGCCAAAAAATCTTTACATATCAAAAAAAAGCAGGAATTCTGACCAATACCTAAAAAACCTAACATATCAGGATAAATCCTGACATCTGGTAACTAATTTCAACATATAGATCGTGTATCAGCATTGCGTAACCCCTTTGATGATCGGGAGAAAACCGACTCAAGATGGATCACGGTGTATCAAATGACATAGTCGTGACACAGTATCAAAATGCGTCCATACTACGATCATTCTGCCGATCATGATACACGTATCCGATACGACATACACATACAGATGCGCGGTTGTATCCGGATCGGGGTGTATCAGGCTACGGCGTGTAACATTATCACGTATCGTTTTGCGTCCACACTAGCAAAAATTATTCACGTCGATGGCACGCGTCTGATACACTATGGAACTATGGATACACTACAATGATACAAGTGTGGACCCAGCTTAAGATGCAAAGTCATTACCCACATTTATGAGATCACTATCCCATAAAAACTTTTTCATATAGGTAGATCTATCGGTATGCTAATGATTGCAGAATTTAAGTTAGACTAAGACCTGTCGAATGGTGTAAACTGCTATAACAATCTTTCCCTTCGTACTTTGGTAAATTCATTCTCCTTCAATAAATCATTTTCTGGTTCAGGTTTTCGCTTGTAGAAATCCTTGCCTCTACATACTTGCTTTGCTCAATTTCTTTTTCCTTAAAAAATCTACCCAAAACTTATTACTTGGGACTCTTGTATGCCTATTCTACTTTCCTCAACTGTCATCGTTTTTTTTTTTAATTTTAATTGTATAATTTATGTATACCTAGTCATTCAAAGGACTTTTTCATCCAGTCTTTCAGTAAGTTTCAAGTCAATCGCCCCGCAAAATAAACAGTTTCATACAGACTGTAACAGCCTCTTTTTTAACCTCTTAGGGGTTAAATTTTGAAAAATACTAACCAAATTTCAAATTTCTGCATTAAACGTTTTGGACTGTGCGTTGATAGATGAATCAGTCATTTAGAACATTCTCTCTTAAATATGTGTGATAGGTACATTGTAACATTGTATTTATGATACTGTAATACAATAACGTGTTTGTCATACACGAAGAACGCTTCCTTCTTCCCGTAACTCTGCAAGTATATTTTTTTAGAATAAGGGTGACAAACGAACACACTGTCCACCTGATAGAAAGTAGATGTTACGGCCCGTAGACACTTACATTTATCCTCAATTAAGAGTCAAAATATAGATGCGTTGTTACCCCTGGGGACTGAGATGTAATGCTTCGTCACCAATACAAAGGGTCTCAACACTCACCATAAGAAACACAGCGGCATTAGGCTGCTATCTTACTCTGGTATTCCGTTACAGTGTAGTCTTTCCCCGGTCGATCCAATACATTTGTGCTGCAACCATACCATAGACGTAGCGTCTACATTAAAATCAATGTTGAAGATAACATGTGTCATTAGGAACTTAGGAAGTACATGAAAAATTAAATTAAACTAAAATTAAATATAAATTTATTGCATTATGTCTCTTCATGCAGTATTTCACAATAGTATATATCTCTCTACATTGTACAAATATCTTTATTCTATATTATATATTAGAAATATCTTATTTCGTGCATCGTTTATGCTAAAAGCATTCAACCTTAAAAGTAATTATTCTAAGCATTCAACCTTGAGGACATCGCGGTTAATTACTACAAAACGTGTTTCACTCACGAAAACAAAACAACCGCAAAATAAAAGACATTGTAATGCTACACAATTGTACGAATTCTCAGCCGTTTAAGGTCAAACTTATAACAACAATTTAACTTATAGTCTGAGAGCTGGCGACGAATTTTGGGAAGGTCCTTTTGCAAGTTTAATTTGTGAAAAAATATAATTTCGTCAATTGGCGAATCCAGTCCCGCGAGTCTGGCAGAGCATTCGCGGTTATTTCGTTACTGCGCAGCATATAACATTTGCAAAAAAAATCCTAATAATGTTGACTGTTACTTACGCTAGATGTCAAATAAAGGCTGACGGCTCCCTGGCGCAGTGGCTTAGCAATTGAGTTGCAGCGCTAAGGGCTGCTGGTTCGAATCCAAACAAGTATTTGTATGGCCTACAAATAATTATTCCGGGTCTGGATGTTTGTCCTTGTGCAATTTATGTTTGTAAACAGCCCCCACGATACAGGAGAAAATCCTAGTGTGGAGGTTACGTTTTTTTTAAAAATATAGGACATAGGAATAAATAGTTCAAGGAATTTATGTAGATCCTACTCTAACGTGTACATATATGTACTATGTATACTCCTGGGTAATTACCTTTTCCTTCAATATATCAAAGAATCATGTTCATACGTTCGGATTCCATTACAAAATTTCGGGGGCTTGTGAATTGTGAACGTAGGTATATATGTTATCGATTTTTTTTAATTTATGATGTCAGATGTCTCTTAATCAACTCCATCGCAGCAGTTGCATAAAGTTTCATGAGTAAGGTTTCGAAATGAAACGTGAAAATTCGGCGAAGTTACCTAAGCCGAACGAAGGGAAAATAAGGGCTTATTAGGCTCACGAGGGTTATCGCTTCAGTTATGCATCGCGATAGTGAGTTTTTTAATTAGTTGCTAGCAAGAAAAAATGATTTCGTTATTGATATATTCATACTAAACAGGGAAGAAAATGGATATAAATTTAAAACAAAAACTAATTATTATTTCTATTAAAAACGAAAAACTAAGAACAACATTTTACGTAAATCTTTTATTTATATAGATAAAAGGAGACTAGCACACAGTCCACCTGAGGGATAATGGATGCTGCACATACATCCATCCTCGAAGATGCGTTGTCACCCCTGAGGATTAAGATAAAATCTCGTTACCATTAAAAACCTTATCCAGTTCTCTGGACACGCCATTATATACGAAACACAGCAGCATTAAGCAGTTATTTTACGCTGGTATTCTGTTAGAATATGGTTCTTTCTCGGTCGAGCCAAATCAATGTAATATTAGCTAGCTACCTGCAGCGCGGCTCTGTCAAGTTAAATAGACCTTCAGGAGAAATTAAAATTATCTACTTTTCACTTGTAGGAATTAGGAAGAGCAACATACGAGTATGGTTCCTTACACACATACACAGAAGTATTTTTTTAACAATAAATACATAAATCTTTTTATGTATTACCACAGATTAAACAATAGTTATTAAACTATTTCGGCTATAATAACGGCCGTATCCATAAGATAGAAAACAGATATGGAGGTACAAAAATTTCAATCTTTGCATAATATGTAATTCAAAATAAAACAACAAAAACAAGTCATCATATTATATTAGGACGATGTAAAATTGTGTTTGGACGGATTCATGGCGTTATTTTTAGCTCTAACGTATGTTATTATCCAAGTATTCATGCTAGCCCCTCAAGCTCCCGCACCCTCATAATCGATGAAAAGGGTGAGAATAGGTACAAATCCGGATAGATCGTAATAACCGCTTCGGACACAAAATGAAATTAACAAATAACGCCATTTTATAAATTTTTAGATTTCTTTCCCACTTCAACTTCGCCTAAAAATGTTTACAATACAAGTAAGACATTTTAAAAGGCCGGCAACGCATCTGCAATTCCCCTGGTGTTGCGGTTGTTCATGGGCGGCGGTAGTCACTTACCATCAGGTGAGCCGCATGCTCGTTTGCCCCCTCTCCTATAAAAAAAATAAATAAATCTTTGCATGTGATTTTATATTCAAAAATGTTACCTCCCGAACAAGAATTTTTCCTGTATTGTGGCACTTTACATACAAACTGCACATGGACAAACTTCTAGATCGGGAACATTTATTTTTAGACCATACAAACATGTTCCGTAAGGGATGAGACTCTTTGAATTCTAGTACAAATCACACATAGCGTGAATACACAGAAAAGTTATACAAATACCTAAGATGTAGGTACAATAAAATTATTGCTTTTGCAGTTTTATTTCCCGTGTCACAGTTGCATTTTTTGCAATAATCCAGTCCATTCATTTGCTTTTAGCATTATGAACAATATGAATAGTCATAATAATAATATAATTAATCTCTTATAAAATGAACGTTACGATATCAATATTAAGAACACTTCCAGATGCAAATAGCCTGATTCCCGCCAAAGTACATGTAGCAAATAGTGGTGCACTCGTATGTGATTTCAAAGCCGTAGCTTTCGCCGACGACCACGTGGAAGGCGGGTCCGAACTTTTTATCCATGGACTCCTTCACCATGCGTGCCGCCAGCTCATTGTTCTGCGAGAATTTCTCGCACGCAGTCACTGACAGCTCCATTGCCTCCGTGCGCATTTCTTCTGACATGTCCGAGTGCTGCAATTTGAGCAAATTTAAGATACAGGTTTATTTTTCAAAGTTGTCAAATTTTAAACTTAAGTTCAAATATATAAATAAATAAATAATGATATACCGTTAATGCAGTTTTTGAAAATACGATTAAATAAGGCTTCTACTTTTATTTGAATTTATCCCAAATTGAATGTATTATTGTATGGACAACAAGGCTTTTGTCTACCGATCGACCCTTACGAATGTATGCGTGCGCAGTAAAATCAGTTAAATAATGCATTACAACACATTTTGAATTTAAAAGATATAAAGGACAGAATTATTGAGATTTATTTAATTAATTTTTCTTCACCATTTCTGCCTATATTTCTTATCCTGAACATTCTCTGCAAATTTGACCGGTTATTGCAAAATAATACAGGGTTATTTTATCATCCTATTTATTAATTGTGATATATTAATATATTAATGATTGAATACATCTGGCAATAAACGAGATACGAGTAGTTATAGGGGTTGCCATATGGTCGGGATTCGTCTGGATTCTCCCGATGTTTTAAATGATCTCCAGACTCCCGACAAAACTCAGTCTCCAGACAAACAGCTTCTCAACACATCATAGCTGCCTTTGAATCAATAAAAGATGAGTTAGTAATTAGACTGAGCTCTGAAGAAAATTGTTTGAATTTTAAATATTTTCTGAATATTTACTAATTGATCCAAATTGGTGGTCTCAGTAAAGTCCTATGCCAAATACATGTGGCAACCTAAAAATTAAGTGTACTTAAATTAGTTGTGTCAACAATGTTAGGGTCTTTTTGTAGCCTATTAATTTAAAAATTTACTTTCGTTTTAAATACATTTTCATTATTAATATTTATTTCTCCCGACAACAACCCGTTGTAGAGCCACGCTGCAGCTATATTAGTAGTATAGTTGTAGCACGAATGGGTAGGCTCGAACGGGGAAGGACCACGCTCTCACAGAATACCAGCGTCAAATAGCAGCTCGATACTGCAGTGTTTCGTATGGTGAGTGTAGAGAACCGGAGACCCTTTTTACTAGAAAAGCGGCATTCCATCTTAGTCCTCACGGGTGACAACGCATCAGCATTTTGATTCTTTATTGAGGATAGATGTAGATGTCTATAGGTCACAGCAAACACGTAATATCAGGTGGACTGTGTGCTCGTTTGTCACCCTATCCTATAAAAAAAAAAACCATAATCCCAACATTTTCAAATCTTGTTCAGATATTTTGGTCTTCCGATCTGGCACTCCTAAGTTATATCGCCATCTATCGAAAGCCATAAGGAGACGTTTGGTATTGCGTCGATCCCCCTGACAAGCGTGACCATTAAGGCAAATCGTTCTTACAACGTTAGAGGCCTTCGTATAGCAGTGGACTTCCACGTTCATATAAATACGCACTAGAGCCACGCTGCAGCTGTATTAAGACTACAGAATTAAAATGTGTCAGCTCAACCGGAGAAGGACCATGCTCGTACAGAATACCAGCAATAAATTAGCAGTTAGTTTCATATGATATGGAGAGACGAGAGTCGGAGACCCTTTTAAAAGTAACTAGGCATTCGTGTAAAAGCCTTTTGGTTCAAAGAGCGAACCATCACGGAAAACGAAGTAGATATCGTACATAGTTCTAAGTTCATAAGGATAGGTAAGGTAACCCACATCTGTATTTTGATTTTAAGCAACCGAGCATAGATAGATGCAGATGTCTTTCTATGTGTCATCCATGTATTCTTTAAACAAATATTATATGACTAGCTGTGCCCGCGGCGTAGCTCGCGTATATAGATTTTACATAAAGAATTTGTCGTTTAGGTAAGAGAATATTAAACGATTTATATCATTACTGTATCAATAAGTGGTAACAAATAAATCATTATCATCAAAGTTCTAAGTAGTTTATGATAGAGCTTCTGTGTAAACGACGTTAGAAGTAGGCTTAGCCGGGGTGTACACAAAAAGGTTACGGGGGCTACTAACGCGGGAAAAAGCAACATAGAGTTGGCCATGTGCAAAACAGTCAGTACTGAGGTCCACTCTTACAACGCGTAAATTTTGACCTTGCACTTTATTTACGGTCATCGCATAACCCACGCTGACTGTAACTGGGAACTGAACACGCTTAAAACTGAAGGGAAAGTTACTTCTTAATAGAGTGTTTTTTGGCAGTGCTGCCAGATCAAAAAAACTCATTCAGCGCTAGGACAACACAAAAAGCGCAAGATTTCATGAAAACAGCGCTTTAAAAAAGCCCTAGATTTCGCGCTAAATTAACTACAAACAAAGTTTGTGTTTTTTATTATAATTTATAATTCAAGAAAATATAATCATAATAAAGAAAACAACATTAAGTTTTTTTCTGGCAATATTTTTTGATGTATCAATACTTCGCAGGACATCGACTTATAATTATGGCAAATGCTGTCAACGGTAGTTAGTACTACTCTAAGTAACTTTTAACTTAGCTGTGCTCTAAACAACTGACTAAAACTGAATAAAGCAAAATAAATGCGTTGCCAAAACCATGAACGAAAACTTTAATGAAGGGGATTTCCCCGCTTATAGTCGTCGATAAAAAAAATCAAGTTGATCATCCTAAAGGGGAAGCCGGGAGATCCATAGCACAGGGTATCCTAGTTTGGACTCGTCTCCCATGCTCTTTGTTTTGTGGAAAAAATATGTTTGAAAAAGATAAACTGCAATGTACTATTTGTGGAAAAAAATAATAAAGGTCATTATTATTATTATCGGTAATGTGGACTAACAGTGCTGCTATAAAAGAGTTAATAACCCGCTAGTCGCTACAATTTTGAAATTTGTGCTAAATACACCAAAAAGCGCTGGATTAAGTGCTAGGTGCAAAAATGCGCGCTATACATTCCAAAAAAGCGCTAAATCTAGTTCCCAAAGCGCTAAAATGGCAGTACTGATTTTGCGTATATTATAAATACAATATCACGACATTTCGTTGCAATTTTGTTATTTTTGTTCGGGTTCCGTTGTATGGCTTCGATAGATACTAATTTCTTCAGTAAGTCTCAATACGATTCATCGGCGAAAAATCTCAACACAGCAAATCAGAAAAGTTTGTAATTTGTATAACTCCATCTATTACGTCCTTTGTGTGAGAAAACATCCTTTTTTAAATCTCTTTTTATGTTTTAAGTATAAATATATTAATTATTATGGAACGTTTTTTTACACACAAATCTTTTTATTACTATTTTTGTGATTTTTATGGCGCCATTGAACAAATTCGAACCTACATTTTAAAATAATAATCATTACTTTCGATAGAATTAACCAATTTTAATAAAACAAAGATTAAATGTAACTTGAAGATACGCTTTATGATTTTCTTAACGATTTCTTTGAAAAAAAAAGATGTTTACTTTAGACGTGATGCATTCATATAAAAACAGACAAACAGACAGACAGACAATTCTAAAAATTATAAAATGTTCTTATTTAATTATTTTTAGTTCCCCATAATGATTTTAGTCACCAAAATAAATATACAATGTACAGAAAGAGACACAACATGTTATCATCATTTTTATTATATGTATATATTTAATTGAAGAGAGATGGCGCTGCTAACATCAACTTGATGACTCAAACAAAGCCACCGTTGAGCAAATTCCCTACCCATACTTCAGAATATTTATCATAACTTTTGATGGAATGAACCGATTTTAATGAAATAAAGACTAAATGTAACCCGAAGATACACTTTATAATTTCCTTAACAATTCTTATGATATAAATTAGTACTTTAAACGTGATACGTTAACAAACAAACAGACAGACAGACAGAAAATTCTAAAAATGGTAGAAATGTATTTAATTACTTATTTTTAGTACCCCTCAATCACTTTTATTACAAAAATATAAAATGTACAGACATCTGCTATTTACAGTTTTATTATATGTATAGATGAATTAATAGCGGTAAGATAATGAGACTTAAAAAAGAATAAAAAGAAGAAACTCGTAGTTCTGACATTAATTTTTGGTTTTCCTTGACGTCCCAATTAGTTTATTGTAACTGCGAATCTCTTAAGCTCTATTGTCTTGAACGCAAAATAACTAAGAATGTTTCGATTTCGATTGCTTATTTTTTATCTTCACTGTGTGTTAAGAAAATATTTAAACCTGTAAATTTCCATAAAATAAATCCATATGCATATTTTAAAGTCTTTAAGTACAATTACTCAGCACCATTTTTATATTATAAATGTTCTTGAAGAATGTATAATAGACAAGATTGATGCTTATATGTTATAAAATAAACCTAGCAAGCTAACAGCATAGCAAAGTGGCGAAGCAATCAGCTTTGTAGCGGTTTCTAACGGTTGCCGTTGAGCAATCAGTTTCAAAATAGGAGGTTCATATGCCTGGGTGATCAGTAATCGATTGCTGAAAACAGAATTTGAAAATTCGAAACCGTTCTCGAGATAATCGTGGGACAGGCGGACAGACAGATGTCTGTCCCATCGTGAAATCAATAACTGACTTCGCAAGCTTCGCCACTTAATAATTAAATTATTCGTAATCGACGGTGCATGCTCAGACTCCAAGCCTGGAAATACTGGTATTCCACAACCACTGTGTGCTATCGCCTATACCCTGTTCCTTCTACGATACGTTACATACCAGTAACATTCATTGTTATTCAGATGACAGCACTGGCGACTTATTACATCGGCGGTGTTAATTTATGCTATTTCTCGGGAACACATCGTCGAGTGCCGGTATAAACTTGTGTCTGGAGTAGAGTCTGGAACAAAGTCTCGGATTGGGGCTAACATGTTTAGATTGGGGGCGACTAAATGTAGTCCAGGCCAATCCCTAAAATAAATAAGTTTGCGCGTTTACCGCTATAAAGAACCCCTTTGTCCTATCTCCTCAGTTTTAGGGTACTTCCCTCGTTGCCTCAGCTAGCATCGAAATCCTCGACGTCGACGTATCGAATGACATTGAGTTCCTTGATCA